CCCCACGCCCCCATTAAGGCCAGTTCAATACCACACCCCACGTCACCTTCATTATGGGTACAGTACCTTTACCCATTAACAGATCCCATAATCCCCCCCCCTCCCCCCCCTGCACATACCTGGCTGACTGGGTGATGTAGGTAGATGGATGGTCACTTTTCGGTACATTGACGAACTGGGTAACTCTTTATCTCGCCTGTTGGGGTCTTAATACGTGCCCTGGGGCTCTGGGTGCGTGAGTGAGTATGTGTGTTTGCGTGCAGTGTGTGTGTGTGTGGGGGGGGTGTTTTTGTCCGTTTTGTCACTTGTCAGCTTACTACTTAGATTGTGTATGTGTGTGTGTGTGTGTGTGAATATTTGTGTATGTGTGTATGACGTGTTTAAGCTTGTTGTGTACCTATGTATGTATGTATGTACGTACGTACGTGTTTGCTCTCTTGCTTGTGTATACACTTGTATTTGTGTACGTTTTCTTGCATACATTTGCTTTAATCTGTACGTGTGCTTGTATATGTGTACACTTGTTTACTTGTACACATCTTCACATTTCTGCTTGCCTGCAGGTTTATGTGTGTGTGTGTGTGTGTGTGTCTGTGAGTGTAATTATGTGTCTGTATGTGTACAGTGTATATATGTATATTAGTGTATATGTAATGTGTATGTATAAGGTATATGTGTATTTCTGTGAGTGTGTGTATGTGTGTGTATGAAATTGAATACAAGCGTTTGATCTATATTTTCCTGGTATACTACAGATCAACAGAGAGATGAAAGCAACAGGAGGTATTTAGTATCATAATAGGTATAAATAGGGACTTTTTAACCTATTTCTGGAGTCAAACATATTAGCAGGACAGTTAATTACCACTTAGCTAATTGGTTGTCTGCATGGCCAATTAACCAATCATAAATGACCTCAAATAGCCCCATTCGTTGACCATATATTCCGAATATTGACAAAAGTGACTCATTTCCTTCTCCGTTTTGTTCGTTAATAGAATCTCGTTTATTTACCTTAATTTAACGTCATAATTTGCGTTCAGTATCTAATTGTCTCATTAGGAATTAGTAAAGTAAATAAAACAAGAGGGTTATAATGTTTGTGGTTGAATGTTGGTAGAAAGAAGGTTAAAGGCGGTTTGGTTCGGTAATCCACGTCGATGGATACACAGTACGTACAGTCATTAATTAAAAAGGTATTGCTTCAAGCGATTGTTATTATGGCTATTGAGAGAATATTTCCAGTATTTTAATCAAGATATCACGTCACGCCATACATAATAACGATATAAATTATTAGATATATACCAGATGGTCATTCAAGCCTATCTTAATCCCGGGTTTTATGAAGGAAAACAAAATACGCGCGACTTGGCCGAATAAAAACACCGTTTATTATTCTGGCGATGAAAAGTCCCTCCTGTGACTTATACAAACTAAAAGGATATCACTTTTTACAGAGAAAGGCCAATATCACTCTCTATCTCTCTCTGACGAAGAAAGGGTCTTGAGAGAGAGGACTCCTTCAAGGTGGGTCCCTGGGAGTGTGATGGTAAGGCGGCAGCAGCAGCTACCACCACCCGGAGACCAGCATCACGTCACCTCCTGCTAGTGGAAGCGACGGGTGGGGATGGGCGTGGTGTGGGCCGCCCAAACACACACACACATACACACACACACAGCACGTAATACACACATACATACACGTATACCGCTGCTGCTGCCGTTCGAATTTTTCTTAAACCTGCCACGATCAGAACTACCACACTCACTACTGTACTAAATCCCTTTTATACCACCTCTTTGTAGTGTAGCATCCCTTGTCTTGTGTACACGCCTCTCTCTCTCTCTCTCTCTCTCTCTCGCTTGTTTCTTCTATTTCTCTCTTGTTTATTTAATTATTGTTCATCTCTCTGTGCCCCCTTTATTATCCCTATGTTTACTTCTTGTTATTCATATTATTTTATGGGTCTGTTTTCATTTTCTTTGTTCTTCCTTCGTTTATCTAAGTTTCTCCTTAATTCCCTTGTTTATCTCGTCCTTTGTTTTTGTTTCTTCATATTTCTTTGTTCACATCCACCTTTTTCCTTATTCTTTTGCTTTATTTTTTATTTTCTTTCTTCTTTATCATCTCCTCCTTATTATGTACTTTAATCTCAATCTCATCTCCTTTCGTTGTTCTTATTATCCTTTAGCCATGTTTATTTACTTTTCTCTCTATCCACATTTATTCAATTTTTGTTTAATTCGCGTCTTTATTCTGATTTTTACTGTAATTATTTTCATTTTTTGAGGTTTGCATTTGTTTATCTACTTTGTTCGTTTATTTATGTATTATTTTGTGTTATTTGATTATTCCTTTTAGTTTTATCTTTATTTGCTTATTTTAACCTTATTACCTGCCTTCTGTTCTTCCTTATTTTAGTTCTTTCTGTTTTTTATTATCTTTTCTTTTTCTTCCATTTCTTCTTCCTTTTCCTTCATTCCTTTCGTCTGTTCTTTCTTCTTTTACTTCATTTTGATCTTAAACTAATCTTTGTCTTCTCTAATCTCACTTCCTTCTCTCTTTTCCTTCATCTCCTTCTTCTGATCTACACTCTTCTTCTCTTCTCTCCTCCATTCCCTTCATCTGATTATCCTTTTTTATCATGTACTGTACTTTGTTGTGGCTGTTGTCTTGTTGTGTGCTCCTGGTCCGCCACACGTGATTGTGTTGTGCTGTTATGATACGCTGAGTAGCAAGAGAGAGCTGTCCTCCTCCTCCTCCTCCTCCTCCACGAGCTCGCTCACCTAGTAGTCTATTAAACCCTTCATGTAGTGACCCTCGCCAGTAACCAGTCACTCAGACGCACGGTAAGTGGTATATAGCACTCTTTAGCCTCTCTTTTGACCAAAATAATTGAATGATTAAAATCCAGTGGTCTGTATTATTTTGTTAGAGATAAATTATATGGACTAAAAAAAAAGAAAGAGGGTCGTACTTGATGAGGGTTGGGTCATTTGTCTGTCAAAGAGTGAGTGACCCGCCCTCATCAATCGAAGGAGCCAGTTGGCACTTCGTCGGCCCTCTCCCTAATCCCCTACAACCCCCGTCATGGCACTCAGAGATGGCCTCAGGTCTCCTACAATGTCCAGACTAATGTTCACTTTCACTTGGGAGAAAAACAAAAAGTGCATCAATTAACCTCCATCTTTTACTTCATCACTGCTCACAATGTTCTCCCGCCTTGCATACTTTTTTTTTTGGCAACATCACTAACAGTCATATTAATGCAAGTAAAATCCACTAAATGTTCATTGCTTCACAAAATATAAGAGACATCCAAACCATAAACCTTGTCACCAAACACTACTCGACAAGTTTTATGTCTCGCCAGCTCCCCGGCGTCTACTGTGGACCTTTCCTCAGTTCCACTTTTTTTAAGAATTATGTTGTTCCCATTTAATGTGGAAAACTCATTAGTTTTTTCAGTCCCCCTGCTGCATATTTTCACTTAATGGCTTCCACAAGCACCCAGAGATCTAGTTTGAGTCCTCCTTAACTGCAGTGTTGTATTTGTTTTAAACTAGTGAGCCTACCAGTGAAACTTATCGCTCTCCTCCCCTCCCTTGTACGGGATTCATAACTTAACTGTTGAACCATATTGTCTCATAACCTGTCTCTTCTACCTGGTGAACTCCTGCACCTCTCCTTCGTGTACCTAAAACTTGTCAACATAAACACCCAGAACCCTCATCCACACTAACTGCCCCACCACTCGCGCATGACCACTCTCACTGTAATCCTCCTCAAGTATCATTAACCACAACCCATCCTTTGTGAATCCATTTTCTTGTCCGTTAAACTTCAAAACCATTTTCCCTTTTCTTAAGCCACTCATATATACTGTATACTTTCTGCTTCCAATTTTCACTGGTATGCACTGTACTACTATTATAGCTGCTAGTATTATTCATTAACATCTGTCCTTTTTTACTTATTAAGAGTCTGTCAGATGTTTTTTGACTGTGGAGCATTTTCTTTAAAAGCAAAACCAACTTCTTCTCTCAGTCCTGACACACACACACACTCTTCATAATTGTCGTCTCTCAAGTATGTTACAACTTCTCTTATTTATCACTTCTTGTTGACGTTCAGGACAAGACTACAGGACAGTACGGTAACTTCTTCATAGTGACTTCATGCTAGATATTGGTACTCGGGACCTTTCATGATCTTCCTAAACAGCTTTCCTTTCTTATCTATCCTTACTAACTTATTTTTCACTGTTAGCCTCCATGATGAGTAGATTTTTATCCTTGCCACCATTTTTAATTCCTCAGTCTTGTGTTCCTCCTCTTGACCTTCACAGTGTTAATAGAAAAAGGTTTTTAATGGCCTTTTGAGTTTTTAAAAGACCACAAATACTTTCTCTCAAACTCCTTGTGAACTGACAGACGACCTCTTAACCTTTTGCATGTCTACAAACACTTTACCTTGGCCACCATCTCAACTACTGTATCTTATAGCCTCCATATCACAGCACGATCAGTACTAATACCCCTGTAATGTTAGTCTCACCTGTGTAGACATATCACACCTATGCATGTCTGTCTCTCCTTAGTCAGTACTTCATTTTGAGACACCATCTCCTGTGCATGATGCCAACCATCACCCACCTTCACCCTCTGCTCCAGATCCTAACCTCACATTCCGTATGCATGACCACCAGCACCTACTCTGCCCCCCACACAACAACCATACCATTTCTTGTGCATGACTACCAACACCTAAACTACCCCCCATTCATCAACCATACCGCCTCTTACGCATGACTACCAGCACCTACTCTCTGCTCCCTCATTGATATTACCACTCCCAGTGCATGACTACTAGCATTTGCCCCTCATCCTCTACTCCCTAGCCCCTTATCACCCCCTAATGCATGACCACCTGCACCTACCCTCACCCTCTGTTCCCAGCTCCCCAACCACCTGTGAACGTCACCGTCTATCCCCAGGCCTGCAGGTTGTGCTGAAGTCCATCATCAAGGCTATGGCACCGCTGCTACAGATCGGTTTGCTCGTCCTCTTCGCCATTGTTATATTCGCCATCATAGGCCTTGAATTCTACTCTGGTATTCTTCATAAAACATGCTACAGTTTAGAAGACATAGGTAAGTAGCCAATATTGTTCTAGTTTTTCTTTTAATGAATAAATTTGTGAATATATCATATTTTCATTGTCATTCCTTTAGAACTTTGATTGTCTTATGTGAGGGCGTGGCAATGTGTTAATTTAACTATCTAAAGATCTCATTTATTAAAAGATGAATTAATATGCACTCATGGGTGAAGCACTGGAGTAGTGTTAGGGGATAGAGGCTTACTGTTGGAGCTGCATTGGGATGAAAGGTCACAGTGCCAGAGCTTATGTGTGATAGAAGCTTATAGTACTGGATTTTTAGGGTATTATATAATAAACTCCAGAGCCCTAGTGTGATGTAAACTCTCGACACCAGAGTAGTACAGTACTGTTATTTAGAGACTGGGTGTGACAGAATCTTGTGTCTTCAAAGCAATTAACATATTATAAACTCACAACAAATGAGTGTTGTGGAGCTGATGGCTACTGTTGGGGAAGACTTCACTGTTCAGCCTTAAGTGGCAGCTGACTCCTTCAAGGGCCGTGGTTGCAGCAGGAAAGTTTTGAATCATTTAGCAAAATAAAAAGAACAGTAACAGAGACGTGACCGATCGCCCAAGCGGCTAACGAGCCGATCAGTGGTCAAGAGGATAAAAATAAAGTAAAAGTAATTAGTTCCAGCCTTCATTGTTGAAGAGCCTAGTTTTCAACCCATAGACTTAGCAGATGTATCAGTGATGTGTTCCAAGTTCAAAGGGAAAGTGGGGTTTCAGGATCAATCCTTCATTAACCCGATGTTGTCTTGTCTATGTCGCACTCTTGTGGAATTGTTAGTCACAAGTATATATTTTTCTTAAGACAATGTTGATCATGGTAAGATACAACTGAAGGATTGTTGTTATAACTTCCTGCCTTATCTAACTGTGTTGATTCTTACATAATTTAAAAGTTAAACTGTTATTACAGCCTGGTCTAAAACCCAGTAATCATTACCTGGTCCTCTTACAGATAAAGTAGTGACAGAAGGAGAGATGGAGACGCCGTGTCACACAGACATTAAAGAATTAACGCCTCCGGGTGCTTTTTGCTGTGATGCCACGACCTCTGTCTGTTTGGAGCTGTGGGTGGGGCCCAACAATGGTATCACCTCCTTCGATAACATTGGTTTTGCCATGTTGACGGTGTTTCAGTGCATTACACAGGAGGGCTGGACCGCCATACTCTACTGGGTAAGTCCATAGTATTGTGAAGCAAGGATTGTGAGATACCTCTCTTGATGTTGTATTGATTATTCATGTAGAATGTTTCTGATATTCACCATTGTTCTGCTGAGCTACTGCCTCAAGTACAGTACTGAATACGCATAATCTGCCAAAACATTATTATACCTGTACTGTATCTGTATATAAGTATGTACAGTAGTAGTTAATCAGTATACTGTAATACAGGTACAATGTTTCTGGTTCATCAACTAATGTATGGAATAATTTTCACAGACAAATGATGCACTTGGTAGCAGTTTCAACTTTCTCTACTTCGTGTCCCTCATAGTGTTGGGGTCTTTTTTCATGCTCAACCTAGTTCTTGGTGTGCTCTCTGGGTGAGTAAAACCTTCAGATACGTACGTGTAACCATAAACTAATGCTCGGTAGACTGACACGAAAGACGTTCACTAAGAAAATGTTAATCATTATAAGATCATTTTATTAGTGTTCTGTTACGTCCATATTATTGTTTCTGGGAATATGATGTTATTTTATTTTGTACATACAGTTTCTTTTACCTTATGATGACAGGCTGAAGTGAATGTATAGGAATGATGGAGAACAATTTAGATTTATTTAGATCTGTTTCCTTATTTTCCCTCCAAAACATGAAGTGTGGGAAATAGCATAGTCTGGTATGAATATTTACATTTCAGAGAGTTTTCCAATGAGAGAAAACGAGTTGAGAAGAAAGAACGTCACAGAAAAGTCAGAATCAGAAGAAATTTCACTGAGGCTTTTACTGGTTATTTTGACTGGATATGTAAAGCAGGTACTCGGAGCCGTATAGTTGAGATATTGCAGTAAAGTAGAGTTTATTGAATACGTAAAGTTTGCTGTACAGGTAACGTTGTATGATAGTTAAGATGGTTCTAATTATAATAAGTAAACTGTAATACCGTATAGTAAAGCAGGAAAGAGCCGTAGTTTGTTTTAACGTTGGGCCAGTACTGTATGCAGTTCTTTTATGCAGATATGTACAGCAGAATAACTTTGTATATTTGTTGTATGGGTTGATGAAAGCTTATCGGCAGTAGGATTTGAGAAGTTGTTATTTTTTCCCACCACTTTTCAGCTTACAAGCCATTTGGCTGGTTAGTCTATCCGGTGTTAATACGGAAAGAAACTGGAATTTGGAAAACTTGTTATGTTTGGTGGGTTCAGACTGTATAACACCCTTCTCACATATGTCTGGGCCAAGCAGGACTCAAACCCAGGACGTTGTGGTGAGATATGCTCGTTACCACTGTACCCTACCAAACATGGCAGGTTTTCTCAGGGTACTCCAGTTTAATCCTGTACAAACCCTGGACACTGAAGGTCATAACAAAGAACTGACCGACTAATTAAACAGCTAATAAAGCTAACAAGTGACAGATATGATGAATAACTTGTTTTGCTGTTACCAAGTTACTAAGTGTAGAGGTAGAGTGAGAGGTGTCAGATGTAAAGATGGGAGGGAAGGTTATATTTTGGTAGTTTATACTGTAGCTGGCCAACAGATTATGTATAGGAGAGTGGCAAGTTTTAGATAGTTTAATCTGAGGTTACAGATCAGAATTTCTGGGACATTGAGTGTCTAGTAAAGAATGGGGGATAGTGAATGATGGACGTGAGGGACAGACCCGGAGCTGAGGTTTGGCTTGTAGACAAAGTGTATACAATATTGTTTGTGATTGTTCATTGTATTATTCATGATTGTTCTTTATAAAGTTCATGATGTAATGCATTATGGTAGCTCATGTTCATGACTGTTTAAAGTATATCGTGTAATTTGGAATTCTATATTTTTTTTATTCAAGTATACAGGTACTCCTCGACTTACGACAACCCAGACATACGAAGTATAAAATATTTTTTCAAATTACAGATTTTCTAGTACCGACGTTAGTGATCGCGCTGTGTACTGACAAAATGTTCGTTTGTAATTTCCTTTAATGTGGCTGGCAAGCGTAAAAGTGAGAGTTCTCGTGGTGCTGAGAAGAAAAAGAGACACCCATTTTAGAATTTCTATGTATTATTTTTGCCTTTTCGACTTACGACCTGGTCTTCGGGACGGAACCCCGTCGTAAGTCGAGGAGTGACTGTATACAGGAGTATCTCATATGCCCAGTACAGTATAGTGTATAATGCAAGCCAGAGATCCTTGTAATACTGTACCTGCTTTTAATTATAGAGTAATGTAATGAGCATTATTTGAATATCATACTCTTATTATCTAAAAAGTTATTTATCTTTATATGTATTGTATTCTATCATATTACTGCTTCCAGTAAGCTAGAGTTATGCTACAGTATTTACTTTGTGTCGGATGCTTACTGTACACATCAATATCTTCATTATTTGGGGGTTCATTCAAGGAAACCTGTCTTATGTGTGTCATACAGTCACTCACAAGAGTCCTGTCACCTCTCCAGCTGTTCCACGAACCCTGAGATTCAGATTCACGAGTTTGATTCTTGGGTTCATGGTTCAGGAGAAGAGGCAACAGGACTTTTTGTGAGTGATTGTACACAAATCTCTTACTCAGTTGGGAATTAAATTGCCTCTATATAATATAATAAAGAATATTTTGTAAATTATAAGTTGAATATTGCTCTTCTGGCTCTTTTAATACTCACCCATAGATTAATCTTCCCCCAATAATAAAGATATTTATATGTGATGAAGCAAACATTACCCCTGTTTGGTTCCAACCGTGGTATTGGTAAAGTTCCATGTATGCAGTGATCTCACCCTTCCATTTTCTTGTTTGCAGTGAATTTGCTAAGGAGAGAGAAAGAGTAGAAAATAGACAAGAATTTTTAAAACTTAGACGACAGCAACAATTAGAAAGAGAATTAAATGGATATGTGGAGTGGATATGTAAAGCAGGTATGTAATGGTTTCTTATGGCATAGACAACTCAGATAGGTGAGTGATAGTGCAGCTGTCAGGGGAGGTGTTACACAGGTATGGTAATTCACAGTGACACCAAAATTTAACTAGCCCCAGAGCCATTGTTGAGGAAGATTACTCGCTACAAGGTACATTGAACTTATTCCGGTAATTTATCATATTATTTGAAGATAAATATATTTGAGTATAAAAAGTAATTTGACTTGACCTTAACCTTTGTGGTCTTAGGGAAATTCAGTATGATAAACATACTATTAAATCTACATGATGCTTAAGTGTGTTGTCAGTGCATGGAAGTACAGCTCGTGTGGTTTGCAGTATACGTATGTTTATTTTCTGATGATAATTGATAGACCACTAAAGATGTTAAATTCATATTTAATACAACTTTTTTTTTGGTATTTCAACTTATTACACACTGTAGTCTTGAATTAGTACACACTGTAGTCTTGAATTAGTACACACTGTAGTCTTGAATTAGTACACACTGTATTCATGTATTAGTACACACACTGTAATCATGAATTATGTTGCCGGTCAGTGGATAATACAGTTATTACATTACAGAGGAAGTTATACTCGCGGAGGAGAGAACCACAGATGAGGAAAAGGCTCACATAATGGAGGGTAAGGAAAGAACTCCTCTCATAGTACCAGAATTTGTAGACGTTAAAGCTACTGTACCAAGAAGCCAATTAAAGTAAAGTCTTCAATATAAATTCCTAGACATATTGATATCATTAATAAGTACAATAGTGTATATAGAAACCTGAGTATTGATGGTTTATAGTGAGATATTGGAGTTAATTTATATATTTGTATGTTTTTAGCGATTTATAACATTTCGCGTTGGGTGTGGGTTTATTCGGGTGTTCGGCGGATGATTTTGTTCGTTTTGCTTACAGCGAGAAGAAGGGCAGCAGCAAAGAGGAAAAAGCTCAAACACTTAGGGAAGAGTAAAAGCACAGACACGGAGGACGAGGAGAACGAGGCCGAAGATGAGGACGGTGAGCGGAACTTTAAAAAAACTCCTCCCCCCCCCCCCCTTTTTAAGTTACCTCTTCACTCCTCTTGCACCTTTATGACTTTTCCTTTAAAAGTTATTCTCATTTTTTATACCATTCTAATGTTTTCTGTGTTTTTATTCCTTTTATTACACTTTATTATTATTATTATTTTTGTTATCAGAGTTCACGCATTCTCGGAAATTACGGTAATTATTTTATTCTCTTGGACCATTCGAGTAGAGTACAATACCATACATGCACTTGTACCATATTTACTCGAGCAGGGTGGCCAGTTATATATATATATATACAGTACCTTTTACCTCAATGTTCCTCCTATAGGGACAAACACTTACAACACACTTAGGAAACTTTTTTTATTTATGTTTTTCTTTCGTTGGACCTTAGGGATGCCTTAGTCTTGTTTTAGTACGTATAGTTTTTGTTTATAATTGTTTTGTTCTCCATTATTGTTTTCCCTCCACTTTTTTGGTTTTCCTCGTGTGAAACTTTCTCATCTTTGAGTCTTATCTAACATGATTATTTTTTGTTTTCTCTCATGTTTTCTTGTCTTTCACCACCTTACTTGTCGACATTTTTTTCACCTTTACAATTCTCCTTCACACATTCTCTCTCTCTGCTGTACTATTTGTTTTCTCTTTTGTATATATATATATGTGTCTCTTCCACCTCTTTATTTCTCTTGTCACCTGTTGTATCATACTTTCTAGAGAGCCAACGGAAAAAACCCTAATCGATGTCTAATTCTCACAATTGTACATTTCTTTAACCTTTACCAGAAGCTCTTCCTGCCCTTCACTGCCATGCACTTACTGTTTGTGGAATTTTATTAGTCGTTTACCCTTATAAGTGTGTATAATTTAAATATTCACCATAAACATTTTCTATCAATTTGTAAATTTTATGTGTTAGATACTTATACATAAATTCTTTGTCTTGCCTGTACATATACCTATTTTTTATTAAACACAGTAGCATTTTAATTAATAATACCAGTTTGACATATATATTTATATATATATATTTGTTAGTTAATTTTTGATAATTGGATGATGCAAGGTATCTCTTTATTAGGAAAAATTTTTGATGTACAATTTAAACCGATTGTGATATATTTAATTATAATATTCTTCCTCGTGTATGTTAAGAGTACTGTAGTAATGCCTAAATGTCAGAATGTGTGTTACCTAAGTCAGAGCTGCATTAAGAACTGTTTACAGAATGCCAACTAGTCAGCAAAAGAAGTATAAATGATTTATTAGTATCATAATTAACAGTAGTGTAAGTTATCTTGATCATCCTATTATCTGAGATTATCACCTTTAACAATGCCTCTGTTTCATTGAATTGTGTTACTTAGAGATTGTTTGTCACTCGACACCAGAGTTTGATTCATTGTTTCAAATAAGTTTAATGCTCATGTGCCGTACAGCATAGTTGGTGTTGTGTGGTGCTGCGTTCATACTTTAGGCAGTGTGATGTACTATTTTCTACTGTTTTGTCTTTAAAGTACATCAGCCAGCTGACCTGGGTCCTGGATGAGCAATATGCTCTCTCACTCACAGTTGGTATATACTGTACAACATGGTACAGTATTCTGCAACAGGTCACCCAAATATTTTTCACCCATCACGTTGGGTCGTGCACAGTGACAAGTCTTGAAAACAAATGCTTTTGGGTATAAATTTCATAAGTTTTATACGTTTGTAGAGTAATTATGTGGAGAACTTACCTTGAGATAAAACTAAAATATTTTCAGGATATCACTTAATTCTCTTTTTATAACATAATATATATACAGTACATTTAGCTTAGATAAAGAGTTATTGTATCCATGAATCCATGATGTCCTAATAAATCTTAGCTAATTTCATTCATTATATAGTACTTACACTATCTTCTTTGCCACTTGTGAACTTAATAGCCAGTTATAGGCTGTCAGGCAGTTTACTGCAACACACTGTTGCCAAGTGCTGAGCCAGAACATGTTCTTGTATGTATTTGACCACGTGCCAGTGTTTGTTGAGATGGATGTAAACAAAAACAAAGACCTTTTGTCAACACTCGGACATTGGCATCACTGTTGTTGTTTGGTTAAATGTTCTGTTCAGCTCAGCAGCCTTACCTATATGAGCATTTTCCTCCATTCTCACGGCTCTTTTTGATTGATGAATATGATCTGTTTTAAATGATTATGGTCATTACATATCTTATAATAATATGGAGATATAATTAACTCGTTGTTCAGATATTGGTTCCTTCTGAACCTGTTGTTTAACCACTTGTGTGTGGGGTCCTCTCTCTGCTGAATACAACTGATGATAATAATGATGATAATGTAGCTGTTTTCTGTATATTGAATGATGCCTTTGAATGCTGTCTAGTTTATCAGCATCATTATTAGCGATGTCAGAGACAACACAAAGTATAAAGCCATCGGAGAAATAGCCGTCGATCATTAACTGTTCTCTGGCCACAAAGCTTTGTTTTCAAGACAGATCGTAACATTAAAAAAGTCTGGTGTACTAGTTAGTTATTTGCTCTGGTTAACCAAAATCAATACAACTGAGGTATTTGTTATAAAACTGAATGTAGTCATGCACTGTTAATACAGTAGCAACAATATTCTAACATTAATATAATACACTGGGCCCTCTATAAGGATCAACACATTATTGCTCAACATTGGCCTAATTTTTCAGCCAACAGAATAATGTTGGTGTGAGTCTGTATAGCAATCTGAGGTACTTTACACTGTAATTTTGTATACATTACTTATGCATTTGGATGAATGGAGCTCAACATTCACATATATTCCTGCCCATTCTGACATATTTTTCATTAAATGTAATTTTTAGTTTCTTAACGTGAATCCAATTTTTTTGAGAAAATTCTTCCATGATATTTTATTCACTATTAATTAGCATCATTTTACATACAAGGCGTTGAAAATTTTTGTCTTTTGTTTTTCTTTTTGATTAATTTTTTATGTGTAAAGATTTTTATAATTACACCCTGTGGATGTGGTGTTTTTTAATTTTATATTAATAAGAACTATAACTCTTGATGTACATACATAGAGGTGCCCAAGTATTATCTACACTGGTCTTGGTCAAACCAGGTCAGCTCAAGTCAAATCAGTAACCCTTCCCAACTATGACTTTTATACATTTGTTATTTTAACCTATATTTTAGTATTTTAGGAATTATTTCTATATGTACATATTACTAAGATCTCTCCTCACACCATCCCCCCAATTTTTCATTCTAACAGCCCCCCTTTCTCTCGCAGTTCCCGCCAAAAAGAAAGGTATTGGTACGCACCTCATGGTAAACCTAGATTACATTATAGACGTTGTCGTAAACCCATTTTATCATAGTTTGTCCGGCAGTCATTAATTTGATAAATTTTTATAGGACATTGTGTATGGTATTTTGAAGCTTTAGTACTAAATTATATTTTGAAGCTTTAGTTATATTGTGGGCATTTTAAACTTCACTAATACTAGACATTTTGAAGCTTCGGTTATACACATACTTTTAACGTGTTGATATTATTTTAATATTTGAAACTTCAAAATCATAAAAGTTTTGAAGCTTCATTAAAGCAATGAATTTTGAGTGGCAACATAAATTTGCTGTTTTGTGAGACAAACTAAAGCCTATATTTTCGAAGCTATTGTGAATGGAAAAGAAGGACTGTAGTGTTATGTTCACGTGGCATCCTGAATCTTTCCATAGTGATTAGTGCATGTTGTACTGAGTCTTCAGGAGGCCATATTCTTATTTAGATGTAGTTGAGCAGCATTGCAGCAGACTTATAGTACAGTATTAGGACTTGCTGAAGTAACAGTGTCAGCAGCTTGTGGATTAAATTGTAAACAAACATCATCTGTAGTTGCTATTAAAGACATTAGAAGTTTAGCCAAAATATAACATAGCCATAAATCTATCAGTGTATATGAATATACAGTAAACATTTAGGTTTGTGTATTATATATATATGTATATATATATATATATATAAGATAAGCATCAGTGGAGCATTCTATCTCAATAGGTAAGCAGTACAGTGACAAAACATTTTTTTTATTATTATTTTTTTATTTATATATTGAATGTTTCCAACATTAGAGCTTGACAGAAAAAGAATCCTGAGTGTGATCTAGACTGTCATGAGAGACGCTTCCTTCTTGAAAGATGTAATGACTACTAACAAGGAAACAAACTTCTTGCCGGTTCCCCCTGTACTATACTTCTTCCACTTAGTGTCACATTATTTTTACTTCCTTGTGACTACTTTCATTTCCTTTTGATTCTAATATCAGTCAAAGGTGTTTTATCTTCCTCTGCCTTCCTGAATCCAATGAGACCAATTTTTAAGGACATACAGTATATATATTCTGTATATATGAATATTTTTCAACTAGTAACATTCCTGTTTCATGGCTGTTAATACATAGTACTGTACAGGGCACTTCTTACTGAAGACCAATTTTTTAGGATATGTCGTTATTGATCTGTTTTTTTCTTACCTCTGTTTGGTGCTCTAGTGACTGAGGGATTTTAAATATATTCCATTTTATTTTAATGTTCTGCTGAGGAATTTTACTCTGTTAATTTTTCTTGGTGTGAACAACCTCCAAGAGTTATTTGTATTATGAGTGGTTCTTTGTCATCATTATTGTGATTTTATTTAGTACTGATTACAGTAATTTACGTGCAGGTATCCCTCATTATCTGAATGGGTTAGATTCCTTGAAGGCCATTCGTATATCAAGTACTACAGTATTTGGATAGTGAATAATGTAATACAGTAAGTGGGAAAAATAAGGTCCGGTTGCCATCCAACACAATTTTTTTTTTTATGGTGTTCTACTAAAAGAAAAATGATAAACTAATAATATACATAAATACAGCTGGTACAGTACATTACCTTGCCTTGGCTTCAGTTATCACAGGTTTGTAGGACCTCTTGGTGATGGTGAGGGTAGCAGAGGCATCACCACAATGCTAGGATGCCATTGTGTATAGATTCACAAAAATATGGTACAAATACAGAGGGATAAAGAGAGAGAGCACTTCACTTGCACCATACTGGCCACTCCAGCTGACTCCCGGGTTGTGCCTAGTTCACTAATTGAATTTTCAATCAGACCAACATTTACATAAACAAAAATTACCTTTGGAAAAAATAGAATAATTGGATAAGCAAATTTTCAGATAGTGATCATTGAGATAGCAAGGGATACCTGTACAGTATCTCCTTAACAAAATGACCAGAAACTACTTTCATCCTTTTAACTCCAAGACCATTTTGTATACGAGAGTCTGTAGGGATTAACTCACTGGTGGCCGGTGGTGAAGGATAATGGAGAGCTAAACCACTTCAAAATTGATTAAAAGGATTAGTTGAATATGAACCTTTTAAGATTTGTTTAGAAAAATATTCCTAGGGGAGATTATTTGGACTGAGAGAGATCAGAAGATGTGCATATATGTATGTTTGTTTAATGAAGGAACAAGAGTTGCTGACAGAATATTAAAGTTTGTCTTTTATTGGTTCATTCATCTGTTATATTAAGTCACAGCTCTGTGGGATCTGACAAAATTTACAGATGTAGAAATATTTACTGGCTGCCATAATATTAACAATGACTTATAAGTGAAAATGAAAAGTCCTCAGAATGATTATTTAAAGTTTAGACCCATGGAAATAAAAGTATAATAGGAGTCATATATTGAAATTCCCGATAAGAGATGTATAGTACATTAGTAAAGGTATTTGACGGAGACAGATGCTGTGTACATCCTCGGAGAGACCGACATACAACCTCTCCAGAATACACAACAAATATATCTGCCATAATGTTATAACTTTTTCATTGTTTAAGGAATATACAACATGTGGAGAGACCTAAGTTAATATCTTGCTATTAGAAAATAAGTTTTAACAAATTTCTGGAAAGTCGCTGCATCTTGTCCTCAGAACAATTGAACAATACTGTATACTGTACTGAGGTGATACTTCAGGAGATTATTCCATAGTGCCGGTCAGTGGTTGTAAATGATCCATCAATTTATCATGAAACATTTTCCCAGAACATGTTTGGAAGACATTTAATATATGTTTCTAGTGAAGAGTTTACTGCTGTACTGTGTCGCCTCGGCTGCTGTACACAAATCACGTCTTTTACTGTAGAGCCGATCGTCAAGAAGAATTTTTAATAATAGCCATTTTTTCAATAGTCACACATAGCATTAGATTGTTTGTAAATATCAAATGAATGTATAAACTGCATTAAAGTCTTGCTAGCACATAATTACACCATTATTAAATACAGTAATAAATATAAATGTACCACCAGCATAAAATCATTACCTTCATAATTATTTTATCATATTTTTTCTCCATAACTCTTTCCTATTGTCTCTTTTAAGTTCACTGTTAATATACTTATTTCTCTGTATAAAATAAATCATTTTTGAACAATTATAACAATGCATCTTCCCCCATCCATCCCCCCTCCCTCCCTCCCCTCCACCCTTTGAAGACCTTGTGATATTAAAAAAAACAGTTTAAGAAATGTCTTGTTAAAATTCCTGAATGATCGCCTGTGAATGTTCTACCTTAACAGATACAGTACGATATCCTCATCTTCCCCTGTCAGCTTACAAGTTAGTAGGACGGTCTCTCACATGTATAGCCACCCTCCCCTCCCACCCCCCATACCACCCTCCCAACTTCTAATTCTACTAAGTGCATTACATCCTTTTGCTCTCAGCATTTTTCTCGCTGCTTGATTACTAATATCTCTACACCTCTTTTAATTACTACATATTGTGACATTATAACCACTACAGTATAGCTTAACACCTTGAATTTACCACTTTCCATTATGTGTGTGTGTGTCGTACTTGCAGTTTACAAAGTTTATTATAATTTTCTCCACACTAAATGTAATAATATAAAAGTATATTAATATACTAAAATCTATTTGCCTCTTTCCTTGAACCACAAACCCCAGGATTCAGACTTATGAATCCGAGGCATTTATGGACAGAATTAGCTATCAGTTTACTGCTTCGGGTTCACGAATCTGAATCTCGGGGTTTGTGGTTCAGGGGAAGAGGCGAAAGGACATTGGTAGTTGACTGTACATGATATATTTTAAATACGGTGGATCTCTTCCTTGGATAATTTAATGTGATATGGTTTTGGCTGCCATAAGATAAACAATAAGATCATTAACACTTATCTAATCTAAGTTATTGAAGGCATTGTACAGTACGGTATTCATTTTTAGTTCATCGTTTATAGTATGTGGAAAATGAAACAAATATATAGTACAGTAGCTGTGTGAGATGGTTAGGTAATGTTTATTCTAATTTCGGTCTTCTGCTCGATGCCAGATATTTTACCCAATTAATCAGTCAATCAATTTTCGATATTTCTATTTATGATTTAGTTTTTAGGTATTATACGCTGTAATTCATCATTACTTCATCTCTGACAGTTCATGATACTAGTTACCATTGGTTCGTAATATTAATGCCATAGGTTCTTGTTATTATTCCATCGATATTTTGTTATTAGTCCACAGGTTCATAATATTAATACCATAGATTCATGATACTTACTTGACTTTATCCTCTTTGCCACTGTTAACTGCTTGGGTTGTTAATCATGTCTGTTACTGGCACCAGAATGTATCTGTACCAGTGTTGGTTAAGACTGATCTTAAATCATCTTAAACTTGGTGCCATCACAACATGCACACAGACAGCTTATTCCAAGAGTTTACTATTCTCACTCCAAGAAGTTTGCCCTGACAACTTTCTGAACTTGTTGCTTCTTTAACTTGAGGCTGTGACCTCTAGTGGGGCGGGCATCCGTTAGTCCCAGGGATGAACACTCGACGGAGAAATGTCCTCTGAGGTGTTAATAAACTTCTGTTAAGTCACCCCTTGCCCAACTATATTATAAGCAAGGCAACTGCAGGCATTCTAATCTCTCTGAGTACCTGAGGTCCTTTTGCATTTGATCTCAGTTAATGATGTTCCTTCATCACATTGGGAGATGTAATACTGTACTCCTCCTTACTGTTGGTATGGCCCAGGTGCATTCCTCTGCATTTCATGACATTGAATTTAACAGCTATTCTTTTGACCACTCCTGAAGCTGCCAGAGATCTTCCTGTAATGCTTCACAGTCCATTTGATACTTAATTTCTAAATACGGTAACTTAGCATCATTTGCAATCACTTGTATGGAAGAGTGGAGAGCATCTGGCATATCAACAAACGTCCCAGCTTACAGCCCTGTGGTACCCTATATGTCACAGGTTCACATGACAATTTTGTGTTAATAATCACACACACACACACACACACACACACACACACACACACACACACACTGCTTGTGGTCATGAAGAAAGTCTCTGATTCATGCAAAGACATTCCCCCAAATTCTCTGCCCTTTCAGTTTAAATTTCAACCTCTCATGAGGTACGATTTCAAAAAGTCTTGGCAAAGTCTAGGAATATATTGTTAATATTGCCAACTTACTGCAGAATCTGTGTCTATTCGTCCAGCACTTTAAGTATTTGCATCAAGCAGGAGCATCTGTGCATAAGACCGTACTGGCATTCTTTTAGAAGGTTGCTTCTTAGTAGGTGCTCCATCACCTACCTGTAATTGTTCATGCAGTGCTGATCATCCTGTTTGGATAAAGGACTCTCACATGTCTTTTTCCAGTCGATGGGGATCTTTTGTTCATCCGTGCATCATCAGAACAGGATATTAAGGGGATCTGTGAATTCATTGCACACCTCAGTTAACACTCTGAGATGTACACTATCAGGGCCAGGGCCACCTTTGACAATTTGGTTCTAATAAAATCATCTGCAAACTCACTGTGCATTAGTACTGTGTCAAACTGTCCTTCCCCAAATCCAGGGAGGTTGTTTGCATCCTCTCTTGTGAACATTGTGGAGAAGAATTATTTAATGCCTCCACCTTGTCCCGATCTGAGTCCACATGGCTACCATCCTCATATCTCAGATGTGATACTCCCACTCATGTCTTTAATTTTAGTTTTGCACAACAGTAGAAAGGCCTAGGGTTCGAGGTGGTCTCGTTTGTAGTCCCTCTATGGAACTCTTTTTCAGCCCCTCTGCACTCTGACTTGGCTCATCATTGTTCATACTACTGTACTCATCCATAAGTTCATAATACTAGTTAATTAGGCTCCAGATACTGTATACATGAAGGCTTGTTGTAATTTAAACTCTTGATATTGTGCATCATTGTGATGTTATAAAACGTTGTTGACGGTGTGTACTGTTTATTAATACCATGTAAAGCTCTGTACTATATGAACTAAGGCCGTAGATCCTTTTAGCGTTTATAAGTTCTCTCTGAATCTCTGTTGCATCTCTCTACTGTAATCTTGTACTTTGTCACTTATTGCATCCACATATAGGGGTCAGTATGTCTCACAGTCTTTTATGGCACTTATCGGAATGGCATTCAGTAAAGACTCCAAAAAAATTTTATTCCATTCATCAACTGTTTACTTTATCCTCTTTGCTATAAGGAAAAAGTACAGTATTTATGTAAAGTGATTAATCTGTTATTTGAATTATTTGATTAGTGATAGAATAATGTGGTGTTGAGTATGTATATAGACATATATCACTACAAATAAGACATTGTGTGAGATAAGTGTCATTATAGAAATATATCCATAAATGTCGGCAAATAGGTAACGTGAGTTAAGTAAGGATAACTAATTAACTGTGTAAATAAATGCATGTTCATCCTCTTAGTTATTAGCACTAAATTTCTCTATTCTCTCAGGGCCTCTGCCACTTCTTCACTAATGAGAACATGTACTCTGTGTGTGTGTGTGTGTGTGTGTGTGCGTGCGTGCGTGCGTGCGTGCGTGCGTGCGTGCGTGCGTGCGGTAAATAACCTTATACCTATCATGTTCCTTTATGCAGTATTAGATGTGTTAAATGAGGATTGCATGATCTAATAAGGATGAGAAATAATCACAGTTTAAATGTACAGTACATTAGGAGTTTGTTTATTTGAAAAGTTTGATGTATTATGTTGTTGTGTCTTCTCTTGTTATCCATGTAAGTATAATCTTATGTACGTCTATGTATGTTTGTGTGTAACGGTTTGAGTGGGTGCGAGCATGTTGTAGTGTACATGCGGACACACCTCACTTCTGCAGTGGCTGATGATGTCTTCCTGGCTAAGGGTGATGTGGTCTTTATGTATTGTACTGTATTTATATTTAAGGAGGCTTCTTTTGGTGTTTAGAACTTAATTGAGGGGGCAGGGGCAACAGTATCCCATCAATATGTTGTGTAAAATTTTGAATGAGGTTTTTTCAGAGGTGATACTGGATATGCTGTACATTGTAAGGACATAACACACACAGCTAAAGATGGAGGTGCTGTGGTGTGTATCATGAATGAAGTGAATTTCTGCAATCTTCACTAAAAAATAACTTGAAAAATGTAGTAGTTTGAGTGGTTTTTGCATGTACTGTACTGTACTGAACTGTACTGCATTGTACTGTACTGTACTGTACTGTACTGTACTGTACTGTACTGTACTGTACTGTACTGTACTGCACTGTGCTGTGCTGTACTGTACTGTACTGCACTGTGCTGTACTGTACTGAACTGTACTGTACTGCAATGTACTGTACTGTACTGTACTGTACTGTACTGTACTGAACTGTACTGTACTGTACTGTACTGTACTGTACTGTACTGTACTGTACTGTACTGTACTGTACTGCACTGCACTGCACTGTGCTGTACTGTACTGTACTGTACTGTACTGTACTGTACTGTACTGTACTGTACTGTACTGCACTGCACTGTACTGTACTGTACTGTACTGCAATGTACTCGAGGAACATCAGAGTAACATCTCCCTGGGATATGAAACCTGAGAAAGTGTGATCTATATTTGATGAACAGTGAAGGCATAATTTTAGACTTTTGGTTGAAATGGTGGAAATTTTATTAAATATTGTTATTTACTTCTTTTGTGGATTCACAATTCATTAAAAAAAATTATAGTAATTATGTATGAAGGGACTAGGGTATGCTAGTTCAGCACCTAGTAGCCACACCCTCAGTTCTGCCAAACATATTTTTAGGGCATAGATACTATACTATACTATACCTCATTTAGATGATAGTATATACTGAATACTTTTAGAAATAAGAGTAGCTGCTGTGAATAGTTTTTTCTATGCCAAAGCAAAAGACATTACACTATTGTTACCAATTTTATCTGTTATTCTTTTAGAAAAATGTCCAAAAGATTGGTCTTTCTCAAACTGAAAACCTTTATAGCTACTAACTAACACCTAAGTATTTTGATACAAATGGTGGAAAGATTACTTCTTAATATCTTTTTCTATCTCTTTCTCAACTAATATAGAATTCCATTATAACATTTTGGATAGAAAATATCCAGTTTTCCGTAGCTCCGTATTTTGTCTTTTATACGCTGTATACAAATACCCCATTTTCTCTAGATAATCCCTCTTGTCTAATCTTGTCTTCATTCCTACTGTATTTGTTGAATTTGTGATCACCCAACCTTGCAGCCTGTTTGTGATGGTAATCCCTGGCATACAGCTCATTGTGTGCCCTCCAACTCTGTTTTTGCTTCTATATCTGCATCAACACCCCCCTATACTACCTTGTCTGTACAGGGGAAGTGGCATCTCTGTTTCTTGATCTTTCAAGTCTGTGAAAGAATTTTGAGGGAAGATTATTTTTTAATTAGTAGCCTTATACCTTTGCAGTAGTTGCAGTAATAGTATATTTAACATATAGCATTTTTGATATCTTATAATATATATTGAAGTATTTCATTTGTTTATCGTGTTTAATTTTGTGTACAGCTTCTACTTCTTAATAATTAACTCTATGTTTTTTCTGGTCCAGGTTTATCAAGAGCTTCCTACTTGAAAAACAAAGTTAAGAAACAAGGTGCCTGTCAGAATTTTTGGAAAGCAGAAAAGACATTAAGGTAAGAGATGAACTTGTCGTAAATAACAGTAACTTTATATTATACGCCATATTGACAGTACTAAAGTGCGTTAATACTCTAGAGAACATGACAGATAGATTGTTAAGACCCAATATTTATTTTGAGATATGTAAAGTTAGATTAAACAGGCATTTACGTTCTTCAGATATTGATTCAGTTTAAGAATACGCTCATGTATTAAGAAATTAAATGAGTAAAGAGCTAAGGAAAATAATAATAGTTCCTGCAATCTATTATTTCATGCCAAAGTTCAAAAGTAATTTGTTAAAGACAGTCATTAACCACAACCTCACACTCAGGTTTGGTATCCGGCGGACGGTGAAGCAGCAGTGGTTCTACTGGTTCGTTATTGTGTTGGTGTTCCTCAACACTGCATGTGTTGCTGCTGAACACTACGACCAACCCCCGTGGCTCACAGAATTTTTGTGTAAGGCATTGTTAGCATGATGTTTATATGACTGTTCACCATGAGAGTAGTCTAGGGTTGACTTTGGGAGGGGGAGAGACTTGAATTAGGAACAATCTCACACATATTCTCCATTTTTTGGTTATTCATTCATTTATTCCTGCTGTTGTAATCGATGTGGTCTGTTTCCTTATTCCCTTTCCACAACAAGGCTTCATATCACACTTTATTATAGACCAACATCATCGATCAACAGTACTGTATAGTACATTGGGAAACATTTTAAGCCAAGGAATACATTATGCTGTATATATTAGGATGGAAGGAAGATTGGCCAGGAATAATTTCAATTTTTGGTAAAGAGACTAGAGCTTACAACAGAAGGTGGGGTTATAATTTAGGATGGAATGAGGTATTTTTTTAAAGTACCGTATAGTACAACATATAAAGAACAAAAATACAGGGATATAATTACAGTTAATGAAGCAGTTCCCTGTACAGTATTCGGTGATGAGGCTGATTTTTTATCTCTTATTTTTTCAGACTTTGCAGAATTTATATTTTTAGGTCTATTCATATCTGAGATGCTTATAAAGATGTACGCCCTGGGCCCAAGAATATACTTTGAATCATCATTCAATCGATTTGACTGTGTCGTCATCAGCGGCTCCATATTTGAAGTCGTCTGGTCAGCCTTCAAGTCCGGGTCGTTTGGTCTGTCAGTGTTACGAGCCTTGCGTTTACTGAGGATATTTAAAGTTACAAAGTAAGTGGAAAATTTCACTGTTTGTTTTTTCCTCTGGTTTGATTATATTCTTATCCCAACTAAAGATAAATAATACATACAAAGGAGTTATCATCCTTGAAATATTACCTATATTTATTGTTTATAATCAGAGGTTCAGAAGAGTTGTAGAGAATAATAAGACTTAGAATCTGTTCCAGTGTTAGAATGTTTAGTGTCCGACTAGATTATATTTTTCTCTTTCCGGCATAGTTCTTGATGAATTATTGTTTCCTATCAAAGAATTGTGATTATGGATATAACTTTGGCATTCACAGTGATTTACAAACCTTGTGATATATTTAATGTATTTCACAGGTACTGGGCGTCACTCCGGAACTTGGTAATATCTCTCCTGAGTTCAATGCGTTCCATCATCTCACTCTTGTTCCTGCTCTTCCTGTTCATCCTCATCTTTGCACTCCTTGGAATGCAGCTTTTTGGTGGGTCATTTAACTTCAAGGACAACACACCTTTGGCCAACTTCAACACTTTCTCCATAGCCCTGCTGACTGTATTTCAGGTGAGTTCTGGATATGTTAGAATGTTTACTGTTTATTTTGATAGATTATACAGACATAGGTTATTGGGATTGTAGTTATCAAGTGGCAGGTGGGTAATTAGTTGTCTCCTACTTCCTAATTCCTTTACTTCTTTAAATATTGCAAGGTTTACATTGCTTGAAGAAAATGGATCTTAGTCACCAATGAGGTTTTTTTTTTATTTATTACTTTATTATTATTATTAAAAAATCAAGTATAATGTATTGTATTGTCTATCATATACAGTAGTTGTTTTGATTATTTTTTTCTGCATTTTGGGACAGGTTGCATGTCATAGAATGGATAAATTCAGAATTAAGGTCTTCTAGGGTTGACTGGATTTTCAGGTTATATAAAAGTGCAAAAGTACTGCTCCCTCCCACTGCCTGAAGTCATAAATATAGAATATGAGCGTGAGGGAATATTATCATAGGAGTGAGATTTACTCACAACTTAACACTCCATCCATTATTATCTTACACTTCAACAATCATGTGATGGTATTAAAAATGGCTAGAAAATACAGCCGTGGGAGATAAGACGAAGTACTGTATAAATAATTCATATATTGCTGTATCTCTACTATACTACACATGGGTTTAGAACTCAGGTGTCTTACGTGACTCATTATGACGTTGCAGATTCTAACTGGTGAGGACTGGAATGAAGTGATGTACCATGGTATTGCCTCCCAGGGTGGTACACAGTCTGGTATGATCTACAGTCTGTACTTCATCATCCTGGTGATCTTTGGTAACTACACTCTCCTGAATGTCTTCTTGGCTATCGCTGTTGATAACTTGGCCAATGCACAAGAGCTCACGGCTGCTGAAGAGGAACAAGAGGAAGAGGATAAGGAGGTCAGTTTCAGAGGGACTTACGTTATTTTTATTATACGTGATAGTGAGGTTTAATAGTGGTAACGGGTACCCGGGTCTTAATTAGAGTCTAGAGCGAGATGTAGAATAACTGTAGGTTGAAGAATCACCGGTGAATTGGCGTAGTGTTGGTAAAATCTGATTAGAAATGTTGTGTGGTAATGCTGAAGTCTGAGTAAGGTATAAAGTGATGGAATAGATTCATTTATATCCATATGATTCTAGAGTTTGTATGAATATTTGAAGGTCAACTCCAGCTCCAAATTGTGTCTCTGTTACTGTTGGTATTATTCATAAAATGCATAAAAAAATATGCATAACTTAAGCATAAAATTTTTCAGTAAAGTGAGAGAAAACAACTTGCATGGTTCAGTGACAGTCCATTTCAACACTACACCTACCCATAGTAATTGTAATTATTGGTAAAGTTGTTTGGCTAAGTAGTAAACTTGCCTAAACGGACGTCACAGCTCTCTTGTGTTGTGGAGTTGACCTTTAAGATAGAACGTTGAAGGTGTTGGTGTGGAAGATTGGCTCCCTGGTTCATACAGCGCTGACATTGACGAGTGATGCTATAATCCCTATGACTACAAGTAACAGAAGAACGAACATGGAAAATATCGAACCATTAACACTGATGACAGATAGATACATGACTCGTAATAACAGTGAATTGAGAAACATGATTACTCCTCACAACATAATCTGTATTTAATCTTTTACAATTCATTCATATTTTTTTGTTTTTTGTTTTATTGTCTTCCTTAAAGGTCTCCTACATTACCTTCTCAACTTGCCATACTCTTCAGTCTCTCTCGTATGAAATAATGTTCTTCCTGCCTAAACTCAAACCTTTTCTCTATTTAGCCACATTCTGTTCTTACTGAGATCTGAGTGACCAAAATATAATGGGAAAAATGGAAGAAAGTTGAAGATAATCGTGATAATAATGAGAAAATAATTGAGAATAATAGGCTGAAGATATGAATGGGACGACCCAGAAAATGAAAACAATGATGATATTTACAAGAAGTTGATTTATTTGTTTAAACATAAGTACAGACATTCACATATCGTCTCTGTGATCTACTTCATTATTTTTAGAGTTAGCCCACAAGAAATAAAGCTTCATTAGTGATAAAAAGTATTTCATTTTTTAATTCTGTAAAGGCTCATGATTACCTGGCAAGAATTTTCCTGTATATTTGATTGATATTTTCAAAGTTTTATATACAGGGTATCTGTACCTTAACTCAGTCAATGTCATTCCATCAATAATTGGTTCAAGTTCAGGTGTGTGCGGATTATTTCAAATATATCATCACGGAAGACATAAGTTGTGTGTACGGGCTGGACTATAATATTATGATATATGTGTACAGTATATCAGGCACAATAGAGAAGTAAGAACATCTCTGTGTGTTAAATAATTTTTAATGTTCATTTACAGGGTGTCCAAAAATGATTACCCCGATTAAAGCATGAGAGCATACTATTTTTAGGGTAATCATTTATGGACACCCTGTATTGTGTTGTACTGTCTTGTGTGAGCTTTATATCACATGTGTGTCTTTACCTAGATATAAAATTGATACTTTCTGGTTGGCATCAAGAGAATGTTAAGCCTATGGATTATTTAATTCTGGTAAATTTCACAGTTCAGTCACCATTTTTTCTCGATTGAGAGTCACTTGTATTGTTTAAGTAACCTGTTGTGTTTACTTTGGCTGTTGACTGATAATGACACATCAGTTTGCTCTTGTATGCTGAACCAAGTTTATTAACATGATATTGAACAATTTTATTATTATATGAGGCCAAAGGTCATGATATTTATGTGTACTTTTTATATATTTAAGTGAACACATTAATATGCCATCTGAATTGGAAACTACTGACAAGGACAGTCCTGTTGCTTTGTAGGTTGTTGTGTAAGTCTTAGTAAATGTTGTTCATTTTAAGTTGATTGTTATTGAGAGTTAGCATTCAATTTATATTAGATTTATAAGTGTTCTTAGGTGCTGCATCTTTAATATTTATAGACATTTTATAGTATTTGTAGATGTGTCAACAGCTTTTTTGCTAAGAGTTAAAAGTGTACTTGCTTCTGTAGGGTGATTTTCTCGTGACTAAAGATAGTGTGGAGAGTTTTCTCAATTTTTTACTTAATTTTTTTCTTATCTCTATCTGCCTGCCCGGAACTGACGGTAACCCCCACACAACTACCGTCTGGCGCTCGTCTACCGTTTTCGATCGTGGGCTGTGATCGATACCCCAATTTCTCTGTTTACATCAATGTGGTTGCTAATATATATTTATATATATATTCTTATATATATAAAATCTTTTTCCTTAAATGTGTTTTGATGGATTCTATTTTTTTATAATTATTTATATTCTTTCTGAACACAAAATTTTTTGTTTTCAACAGAGTATCGAGATATAGATGCACAAAACACTTGTCAGCAATAACTTGCACAAATTATTTATTATATGTTCATTTGGTATCACCGTAGTCATTCTGTGTTTTATAGCTAGAGGAGAGAGGCTTCCGAAGTAGTGCTTTGTGTTGAAAACTTAGTAATGTTGATCGGAGTATCGGTAGTGACCTCATAGAGACAGACTGATAGGACTTCATTCTGAATGTCTTCATATTCAGAAAAAAGCCTTTAGGTCTCATCTGTTTGGTCATGTTGGTGATCCCTTCACAGACCCCGTAGTTGGCAATGCTTCTCTGGTAGCGCGTTGGTGATGAATGTATTAGTGCTTCTCCTACTGACTAAGGTCACCTCTGCTTCTCCACTCTCTGTTGGTCGCCTTTGCTTCCCTCTTTCAGTTTAATCAGTGGTGTATCCTTATGAAGAGCGCGTTTCCATGGTTAGAGTCTTGTCGAGGGGGAATTCTCAGAATATAAAAATTTGCTTTTATTTACTGTTTCCTGCTTTGACACCTGATTGCATACACAACACTAGTGGCATGAAAAAATAAACAATATTAAATTTGATACTGGTAATTCTTCCATGGACAAACATGTTTCACGTAATGATATAAAATCTTATTATAATAAACATTTCAATATTCCAACCATGAAGAACATCTAATTGTCTAACCTCAAACGCGCTTTATCCTGTAGGTAATTTGTGTAACAACATAGAACCTGATCCCTAAGACGCTTGTATCTACCCTTAGTGCTTGAGATATGAGAAGCTTCTAACCTAGTTTTAGGACATTTTAACAACAATATGTTGCCCCTAGGATAATTTTTCTAAAGCCTGTCAAAACTGTGCTCCATTTTGATAAAATGAATTTTAACTTTTAATTCATACAAATTTTATCAACAAATAGTTTTTGGCAATTAGTATTACTGTGCCATTGATTTGTTGAGAGAAATTTTCTTTATCGTATAAGGAATGGACTAAAGCACGAGCTCTATCTTGAATCATGTCTTTGATAATTTCTTTTCCCTTGCTTCCTCCACACCCCTAAATACATTTTGGCATTCTATTCAAGGTTGTAGAATAATCGAAAAATTCAGAATCATGAAAGGAGCATTGTATCCTTTAGCGCCGATCCAATCAGAATGAAGGGTAACATGGGGGATTAGTTGTTAAGTCTCTGACATTCTTAACAACTTGTCCACACACAAGTCTAACTACTGTAATATATGCTCAACAATATTCACCTGCCTTGTAAACTTTTATTCACATTGGAAAATAATTTTAAAGGAAGTCTATTTATAATAAGTTTTAAATCTTCTTAGTATCTTTAGATAAAATATATTTCAGATTGGAATGCATTATCATAAAATTTTCTGGATCATGTAAATTCTTTATAAATTAAGAGTGTATGTTGCATGGTGTGTGTCTCACCACACATAAATTTTCTCTGGTACCTCTTACGTCTGATTGGTTATAAGCTTTGCGAATATTTGCTCCACAATGTTTCGATTAATTTTACGATTTTTATCTGCAGTCTCAACATCTCCCAGATCCTGAAAATCTCGTTCCCCTACAGAAGCAGCAAGCTGTACTTGAAAAAGAAAGGGAAGCAATGCAAAACAATGCAGATGGACCTCCTAAGGTTGAAATATGTCCCCCCTCACCTGGTGGAGACATCAAAATGAAGTAAGTCATGTACGATTCATTGGTGTGTTGGAGATAAATAAAACTGAAGAACATTATTTTCATTTACAGTTAGATGTCACCTATGTGCAGTGCATTTTACGCAAATTAAGGACCTGTTCTGTATGTCATGCATTTTATATATGAATCGATATTTTTCATTCTTAATTAAAATTTGTAAAGGGAGGATAACCCATACACTAAATTTTATTTCTCATTTTAAAGTAAGAATACCAATAGGATTAATATTAATAGAAAATTTTTATGTGTCTTATCCCTCGATGAGACATGAAGGTTCCTTAATGCAAGTTTTGTATGAATGTCTCAGTACCAGAATACAGTACTTTGGAGAGTTGACGTCAGTTACTGAAATATTATGCTTAATATTTTGTTGTTTGATGCAGTCACCACTTCCGTCCATTTCTGAGTATCGGTAAGACTGTGGAGAAATTATGATTAATTTTATGAAAATAATTTATATAAATTATCTGTTCATGTGTTAGATGACATAAATAATGTAGACTGCTCATAGGGCTGCAGCTCTCTTGGGCTGTGATTAAAATTTTAGTCTTTACTTTCATTTAGAAAGTAATTTCACCAAAAATGGTTCACAGAACTAAATAAACAGTGTTAGAGGTCAAGAACAACCTCAACAAGAAAAGAGATGAGACCAAAATTAAAGCTGATTGAGGATACGTGAGTACTGTATTATGAAGACGACTCACTGCCCGGTGGAATGTTACATAGTAACACACCATGAAACACTGAATATGTTTTCACTGTCAACAGTGACAAGAAGGCTGCAGATGCAGAAAAGGACGCTAAAAAGGACGAAAAGAAGGCTGAGGCAAAGGAAGAGAATAAGGAGAAAAGAGATGAGACAAAAGAGGAGGACAGGTCAATAAGAAAACATGATAATCTTGTTATTTCTTAATAAAGTTATCAGGCGTCTTCTTGACAGTATGACCTGATGGAAGACTACTTTGTCAATGCGATTGCATAATCTTTTGATTTTTTATAACTACTGCATTACTTTTTCAAAATTATGTGATACATCCTCGGTGCTTGCAAACCACATCCATGATAATGTGGTGCTGAGGATGTCAACTGTTGTCACATCTTGTTTTATCATTTGAACAAAGTATTAAGTTCTATACTACTGTACTGTATCAACTACTTGGAGGAAATTCTGAAGCTTACTGTTGCTGATGGTCGAGCTTGTGTGTGATGGTCTCTCAGATTTATATCTCTCTTAAGTTTGAATTTAGTCATACTGTAATTTTTTTTTAATATTTCATCTGTGTATTTCTGCTCTTGTCTCTTATATGTGTAATAGTTACATTCAGAGGGCAGTAGCATGCTGGATTATATTCAACAGCTGAAATGTTATGTGTTTCTGCCATATTGCTGCAGCAAAGCTAAACATGGAGGAGTGGCTGTGTAAACTAACTTAAGGGGAATATATTACATGTGTACAACAAATGCCACAATATAATACATTATTGTTTTATGCTATCTTTTTGTTCATAAGTGCATGCATGCAACACTGTCAAATATATATACTGTATATATATATATATATATATATATATATATATATATATATATATATATATATATATATATATATATATATATATATATATATACATACAGTATACTGTATATATATATATTTATATATATTTATATACATATACTGTCTCCTTTCGTTACTGAATATATACATGTGTGTATATACATTCTCATATACATAAACTGCAGAATCTTGGGAATCTAGAATTCAGTTATCTGGGAGTCTCAGAAATGGTATACTATATTTGCAAAATAATAATCCTAAAAAAAATGGGAAAATTATATTCATTACTTGATGGTGATTAATACCTACAGGGATGAGGTGATAGCCTGTGCTGTAACAGTCATCCATTAGGGAGATGTTTAGCAGTTGTCACACTGGTCTGTAAATGATGTCTTACTATGTGCCCAAGATCCACAAATGAATGTGGAATTGTTCAATAAGTTTTCAAGCAAGAAAATTTCATTAGCTCTTCCAACCTCTGTTGATACACTTTTCTTGTGGTCATGAGAGCAGTTCACAAAACATGGTAACACAATATGGTAGTCATATATTTTTATAATTATTTAAAACTCATGATAATGTTGAAAGTAGTGAACCTTGACTTCTCGAACATTTACAGTTTAGTTATGTACAGAGATGATGTGCCACATTATTTGTTATAAATAAACAAACATTGAGCAGGAATCCTGTAAACAAGATGAGCAAACACTGCTGACACAACTGATAGATTCTCAGTTCAACAGTTCCAGATTTCCGAGATTATGCTGTACTGTATTGCATGATCAAACAAGGAACTTGACTTCTAAAAACAGTGTGTGTGTGTGTGCGCATGCGTGCGTGTGTGCATGCGTGATAATTAACGGTTTATGGAAAAGGTTCTGCAGCTCGAAGGCTGAAAATATACATTGGACAAAAATGACTTATTACAGTACATACAAAGACATGGGGTAGGTGGGTCGTTTAACAAAAGCTTTCATTACTGAAAGAAGAAGGAACATGAATTGAACATACAAATTATTATAGTTTACAGTTGATGGCCTGGGCTGATCATTGAGACACCAGGTGGTGTGGTGTTCATGGGGTAGGTGGGTGTTTAACAAAAGCTTTCATTACTCATGAATTGAACATACCAGTTGATCTGTGTGGTGTGGTGTTCACGTGGTGTAGTAACTCGCCCTCGTGTGTTTGTGTGTGTGTGTGTGTGTGTGGGTGTTTTTGTGTGTGTGTGTGTGTGTGTGTGTGTGTGTGTGTGTGTGTGTGTGTGTGTGTGTGTGTGTGTGTGTGTGTGTGTGTGTGTGTGTGTGTGTGTGTGTGTGTGTGTGTGTGTGTGTGTGTGTGTGTGTGTGTGTGTGTGTGTGTGTGTGTGTGTGTGTGTGTGTGTTTGTGTGTGTGTTTGTGTGGGGGGTGTTTTGTGTGTGTGTGTGTGTTTTGTGTGTGTGTGTGTGTGTGGGTGTTTTTGTGTGTGTGTGTGTGTGGGTGTTTTTGTGTGTGTGTGTGTGTGTGGTGTGTGTGTGTGTGTGTGTGTGTGTGTGGGTGTTGTGTGTGTGTGTGTGTGTGTGGGTGTTTTTGTGTGTGTGTGTGTGTGGGTGTTTTTGTGTGTGTGTGCGTGCGTGCTACAACATTGCAGACATCCTCTAAAGACTGTGATGTCTTCTCTATATTTACATTAATCATAATACTATACTTATTATTTTCTTATTAATTAATTGAATTAGATATAACAACCGTAATAAAATGTAGAAATTCCTCCCATTATATTTATATATAATAAATAAATCCCATTATATGTCAATACTTTCTCTTATCTGTGGCAGCCGTCAGCATGATATACTAGTTTAATAACGTTTATGAAGAGTTTTGTCAGGTGTGTGTCAACATGACCTACTACAGGTAAATCAATCTGTGCATCTGCTTTGTGACACCATACATAACTATTAACAGATAAAGGAGTTCATTGCTTAATATTTTGTCATTTAGAATTCCTTCATCTTGCCTAGTACTATTTTTAACATAATAACTGGATGGTATATTTTAGACATGATTATGGGTTATATTGTAGAACCCTAATGATCAGTCATCCAAATAATTATTCTCATGTGAAGCTCAGACTAATTTTTGTCATTAGGATAAAAGTAATTAACTGTTAACTAGGTATCAGTATTTTAACAAAGGAGTTTATAATTCTATAGCTGCCTTGATTATCATTATTATTATAGGTACAGTACATGTCTATTGCCATATTACGCACAAACTCATCAGTGTTAATTTCATGTTTCTTTTCTGTGTCATTTGTACCCGACTTTACTGGTGTATTAACATGATGGTCATTCACTAAGCCTGCACACCTGCCCACAGCAGTAAACGAGATGGGGACAAAGACAACAAACAGGCCGAGAATCAAGAAGAAGACATGGGGGGACCTAAGCCCATGTTACCATATTCATCTATGTTCATCCTTTCACCCACAAACCCGTGAGTATTGTGTTGACTCCTCCTCCTGACACTGTTTTTATCTTACACGTGAATTTATTATTAGTAATAGTAACATCTATGGCATCTATATTCAGTAACATTGTTGATAATTCTTATGAAGTTATAAAGTTAATAACTTTTTTTTTTCATATAGTAAAGTATATATAGTACCTGTATTGATAAAACTGTCAGACAATATTTACAATTGTCTGGGACCACAGCTGCCCACAGACCCGAGTTATTCATGAGATATGGCTCCTGATTATTACCAACTAACTCTTGAGATAAAACATTTTGACCATCTGGCATACAAAATTATTTCTTTATCCTAGTTGTAACTTTCTCATTAATGCACATAACAGTAATAGGTTTTTCTCATTCCAGAATTCGGAGAGCGGCGCATTGGGTAGTAAACTTGCGCTACTTCGATTTCTTCATCATGATTGTCATCATCTTGTCTAGTTTTGCCTTGGCCTCTGAAGACCCTGTCAGAGAGGACTCAGAATGGAATGAGTTTCTCAATTACTTTGATTATGCCTTCACGGGAGTTTTTGCCATAGAGATGATTCTGAAAGTAAGTCACGTATATTTATATGGAAGTTTGGTTATGATATAAATACAGTATTATTATGAGTCAATAAATGTCAACTTTAAGTCATTCATAAATGTTGACAATTGTTATGAGATGTTGTACAGAACAGTATATTCTTTTAAAAAAATTACTGTAGTTTTTCATTATAATGAGTATCCATTTAGATGATCAATAGACCTTATCACTTTATTTGCCTCTAGTAAAGCTCATTTTATCTTAACATTGATCACATTTACCATTCTTCTTTTCTGCATTATAGTAATTAACATTCACTACATAACTCATCTTCCAGTATTAGTTAGTACTGATCATGGTCAATATCTCTCAATAAAGTGTAAGTAATACAGTATTAGTAATTTTTTTAAAACAATGGTTTCTTAGTTTATATATAAATTGTTAGTAAACCTTCGCTGTACAGTATTTTATAGTTTTCTTTGTACAGAGTATATTTATGTTATATTTATGATATATTGGTCATAATTATTACTCAATGATATACTTACTTTCTTCAGGTGTTTTTGACCTCATGAAGATTAGGCACCCCTGTTTGTCTCCACTGATAATTAAGTCCGTAATGCTAACCTAACCTAACCTAAGTCCTCCATTGTAGCTTTAGGGTGTTTAATTATCAGGTGAACCTAACCTAAGTCCTCCATTGTAGCTTTAGGGTGTTTAATTATCAGGTGAAATTAGCTGGGATGTCTAATCTTCATGTGATCTGGTTTTTTCATTGGTGTCCTTTTCAGATGGAGCCGTCAGTTCTTTAGGCGATCGTATTTTTGCAGCGGCCTCCTAATTATCCTCTCTCGTTGTTATCATTCTTATTTATATTATGTCTTCGGAGATTTATTAGCGTTACGTTCATCATCACAACTCTCTTAGATATGAACCTAATCCTTCAACCATTACACAGCCTGTTAAGTAGTGTTCAATGACTTCACGTATTCCAAATTTGTCTGTGTTGCAAGATCTACAGTACAGTATCTGGTGTTCAATTGTGTTGCAAGCTCTACAGTACAGTATATGATGTTCAATTGTGTTGCAAGATGAACAGTACAGTAAATGGTGTTCAATTGTGTTGCAAGCTCTACAGTACAGTATATGATGTTCAATTGTGTTGCAAGATGAACAGTACAGTATATGGTGTTCAGTTGTGTTGCAAGATCTACAGTACAGTATATGGTGTTCAATTGGAGTTTGTGAGTGTGATTTTATTAGTGTGTCTCATAATAGGGTGATAACACTGTCCTAAATTTTGGCTTAGTGTTTTAATGTTGGTATAAACACCCATGGAGTAATGTTGGGATGAAGGGGGTATATAAAGCACTGCTATCTAAATAAATAAATAAATATATATATATATATACAGTCAACCCTTATTTAAGTTATCATGATTATAATCAGTTAACCTTGAAATTTATATATTTCAAGGATTTTCTCGTATAATGTAGATATCTTGGTGTTTGAGGTATTTATGGGGTATATAGTAGATGTATAGTAATGTACATGAGTTTGTATATGAGTTTAAAACTTAAGCTAAATGTTTTACTTATTTACCTGTCTGGTGAGATAGTGGCTATAATGTTTTAATTCTTGTCCTGTGGATTACGTTGATGTTTTCGTTGAGAGTACAGTACGTCACCGCATATAAACTACAGTATATTTGATTTTGCATATCGAGTTCTGTATTATTTTGAATTATGTAGTTTTCTCTTTAAGAACAGAGACTACAAATTACTGTACATTTATTTATTTGAATACGAGTCAAAAGAAGAATCCGGATACAATGGATGTACCGTGTTTGCCATCATAAATAGAGGCAATATAATCCATGATGTAGTCTTGCTTGTGGTTATGGATAATTTAGCACTTGAATAATATTTCTAGGGGTGATGATGGCTAGATGAATGAGGGTTGACTGTTTGATTCATATGTAGAAATGTTCAGCAACTAGGAAGTACAGGTACACCCAATCAACCTTGCACACTTACACTTAAAAATGACAAGATCCTCACATAAAGTAGATTTAGAAAGCACTAGTTTTTCTATTTCAGTAATGCCAGTCACCAAGATACAGTATATTATATATGTGTTCACTTATTACAAATATATTCAGCATCACAGTAAAAATTCTCTCATGCAAAATATTACTTGCACTAACCACAGGCACCCTTATGTCTCTCTAACAGGTCATAGACTTAGGGGTGATATTCCACCCTGGATCGTACCTCAGGGATTTTTGGAACATTATGGACTCCGTGGTTGTCATATGTGCCGCCGTTTCGTTTTGTTTTGATATGATGTGAGTAGATGTTCACCCTCTGGTACTGTCTCTTGTTTCATTTATCTTAAGTTTTGTAATACATGACGAGACCCTAAATTATATATATATACTGCGTGTAGCATTTGTGTGTTGCGTAAACAGTGTTTTAGATCTTAATACCTCAATTACAATTTTGATCCCTTGTGTTTAGTATTACCCCTGGGTTGGCAGTCCCCACCAATATCATCTTAAGATTAGTGCTACTCATCGGTACACTCGGGTGGGTAATACTCGTCAGTGTTGTCCGTGATGCCTGCTGGTACCATCCTGGGTCTGCTGGTATTGATGAGTATCATCTTTGGGATGGGATTATTCATCCAGTATCATTTAGAAACTGGTGACATGTTTTGGCATCATCCTAGCCTTGATGGTGCTTATGACTACAGAATAATTTTTGGGTTGATGATATTCACTATTGTCGCCGGATAGATTTTCTTAATTACTGATATCACCTGTGGTTGGTGGGACTCTGTATTCATCTCAGTGTCTATTATTACATTGTCTGCTCTTGTCTTGGTGGTTTTGATTATTATCATCCAGCAGTACTGTCAGGTTAAGGTCACTCGGTAGTATTCATTGTCATTACTCTGAGATGGATATATTGGTAAACTGATAATACTAGTCATTACCATCACAGTATCAGGGAATTACCATATTTGAATTAGTCATGGGTATTGGAATCCTTCTTCTGATCTCTTGACCCTCATCAACAACATTCTTGGGATTTTATTCTAATGGTAAATTCTACCCAAATCACAGTTAGGTTGTAGTTATGGTACCCTGTGTTGTCACCTTTGGGACAACGACACACATGAGTATTATCTCATACTGGAGATACCTCCCACATTATCATTCCAGGGTATCTATAATTAGTTCCATCGATTTATTTATTTATACTAAACAGCTGGTTAATAATATTCTGGGAACAGTTGTAATCATTATCATTCAAGGTTGATAACACCTATCAGTATCACTTCTTATTTGATGCCACTTGCCAGCTGTTTATATCACTCCTAGTATACTTTAATTCAGATACAAATGATGGGTTTGATCTTGTTCCTTCCCAGTTTCTTTCTTCTGTTTGGGATATTTTCCTATGAAACTCTGGATGGCCGGACTTCTCCAATATTTCTTGCATTGACTTGCTTGGCCCTGTCATCTTTTTGTTTTGTGGTAATGTATTAATTGTGCTCCTGGTGTGATGGAACAGTACTCTCTTGATGTCACTCCTGATGTGGTGATGTCACTCTTAGATTACTATTGGGTGATTATTCTTGTCTCACAGTAAAGCAAGAGGGGAGCTGAGAAGGCATGTTGTTTTTTGTGGCCCTTTTGAGTTTCCTAATTAATATTTTCCTCTCTTGTTTTAGGGATTCTGATCTACCATTGTTTCCGTGTATGGATGTGTATTGAACAGTGTGAAGACAATAGTTCAGACAGGTAGAAATAGATTTTGATGAATCTCTGTGTGTGATTATGATTCAATAAGGTCTTGGAAAAAGGTGATCATCGTCTTTTTTCCTCTGTATTTTGGGGAATTGTGGTACTGTAATCTTGTTGTAAGATCCCGTGTTGGGGAGTAAGACCAAAACCAGAATTCTTGGGTCGCTAACCATGATAGTGAAGGATCTGGGTTTCTTAGAGCTTGTTGTTATGACTCCTAGTCCTTGGGAGAAGGTAAAAGGAGTCACTACTATCACTTCTTTGTTGGTAATTCGTGTACAGTATTTGATTGTATTGTACTGTCTATAGGTTCATGGTGCTCATCAGTATCAGCCCCAGGTGGTAGCTGGTATAATCACATAGTCCAATACTCAGCAGGGTCATGCCAGGGTTGAGAGTCCTCAGCAATACAGTATCATATCATCACTTATGTTACTTTGCACCGTCACTTGATGTTATAAGTGAGTTAGGTTGGTGGTTCTTGCCTCAATCATCCCAGGGTTAATGTTAATATAATCACCAGCCCTAATGTATGTCTTGATGTTGTCATAGTCAGTGTTCTAGGCAGAAAAGATTGGAATATCAGTGTAGTTTGATGTTAATTAAAGTGGGTTTCATATGTTTTAAACACTATATGAAGTAATACAAAAACTTAACTGTGATATTGTTTTTCATGATATACATTGGGAAGGGGTATTGCTTTGCCTCAAGTGCTTTAAAATTAATGAAACCTGTAGCAATATTTTATGTATTTTTTTAAGAGTTGGCTTTTACTAATTTTTTAAAGAGATGTTGTAGATTTAATTGTAATTCCACATCCTTAATGTTACATGATATAAGGATTTGGAGTGTTTAAATCCCAAAACATGGATTGAAGTTTTTAAGGCTGAAGTGCATCATTAATGTATTATTAAGAAGCAAAACTTGATGTATACTATACCTTAAAAAGAATGGTGCTCATAAAGCATATTTTATGTATATTTTAGCTTATAGGAACAGAGTACAGGAAAGATTATTCGCTTCGCTCGGCATTATAGGTAATCCTACTGTCGACGTTGGGCAATATCAGTTTCATCATTGGTGTTAGCAGATACAGTATTAATTGGTTAATTTTTTTGAGGTTTATTGCATGTACAGTGCACTGTGCAGGGTGACGACCTTTTGTTGAAATGTTAGTATGTGTTAGGCTCACTTGCTTGCACAGTGTACTGTTTAAAATTCTAAGAGGTACTAATCATAGTATGGTCTGAAAAACATTAAGGAAAGCGAGAAGAATTGCAGGTACAAGAGTCGCATATATTATCTCTGTTGTCACTATACACTTTGCCTTGTGCAGTGTGCAGGTGATAGCTGCTGCCCATGACAGCTCTTGTGTTTACATCAATGCTTATTTACTGAATTTTATGATAACTATTTCCTTAAAACTTCAATTGGTCTCTGATCACAGGTACTCTGTTGTTATACACGTCTTGGTGACCTCAAATATTTCGTAAAGTGCATGTTGTATTTCACAGTTTTGTGTTTGTTTTCACTGCTTTAGGCTGGTTGTAAACAATATTCCTGGTCTTCCACCTATCCTCCTCCTCTTCCTGTTACCACTTCCATCATCTTTTCCCAGAGAATTATTTTACTCCGTTATTATTTTAATATTCTGTTTGTGTTTTGTTGTTTTTTCATCAATCGGTTGAAAGTATAACATTGACTCTTCACTTATCATTATCAAAGGAAACTATTTCATTCATTACTCAAGGTCTTGTTCCTTCTACTACTGTAGTTATATTTCATAATACAGTGTATATGAACAGCCGGGCAACAGTAAAAGTAAATTGGGAAAAAATGAAACATTTGAAATAATTGTGGATGTTAGACAGGGATGTGTTATGTCCCCGTGGTTGTTCAGTATAGACATGGATATCATTTATTATACACTGGTGAAAGTGGTGATACTGTACTAAGCTTTCATACAGGGCTGTGCACATCTCAAATCTTGTTTATAAGGGAGCCAAGTTGCCACTGTTCTGTATAACTGGTGACTGCTTCTGTTGATGGTTGGGCTCTGAGCCTCGGATTCTTATGTGTTCATAATCTTCATCTCGCCATTTTTTTTTTTTTAAATCTCAATACCTGTATATATGTACTCCTGAACATGCTGATTAAGGATCTGTTGTCAGAAATTTGATATCAGTATAATTACTTGTCCAGATGATATCTCAAAAATTTGAATTTACTTTTCTCACGCTAATTACTCGCCGCCTATGTTTTTTATTTATTTTTTATTGGTTTGTTGTTAATCTCGTGATTGTATATTTTCTATCATGTGGTCCTTATTTATTTTATTTTTCCATATACAGTATCTCATAATTGTCAAAATATTCATTCTTCAATACTCTTTCATTATTCACTTTCTGTTAGCTATCAATTTCCGCTTAATGCCTTCCTTTTCTCTATTTTCAGGGACTTTAAACAACATAAAGATTCTTTCATATTTATGTTTACAATCATAAGCTGTCTCAGATCTTCGGGACATGATAAAGTGGCTTCCTAAAAATAATTAAATCGTCCCAAATTTCAGGTCGTTGATTTAGGTGTTGTATGCCATCCAGGGGCATATTTTAGAGACTTGTGGAATGTCTTAGATGCCCTTGTGGTATTATGCGCTCTCATTGCATTTGCATTTTTGTGAGTATATCTAATGTTTGGTAATTACCTGGACTCCACACTCTAGTAACGTTGCAAGTTATCTGTGTGTGTTGAACGCCGTCTGTAGCTCCTCCTTGTGGTTGTTGACTTGAATGAATATGATCACAGCAGTAAAGATCACGGAGATGGTCGATTACGTCAGTATTTTTTATTAGAAATTTTGTAATGCAGTACGTGTGGTATAGATCATACTGTTACCTTTTTTGTACAAGTTTTCTTTTAAATTGTTTGTCCATTTGTCAGGAAATTATAGACAAAAACCATTTATATTTGTGTTCTCAGTGAAGAGATAATCTTTTGAGAATCTTAAATTCCTTGGAACATACGCAGTAAACCCTCGTTAATACACGATCCCTAAACACAAAATTTGTATCGACGCAATGATTGAATACAGAACTTTTTTCTCCGTGGGACTCTTCATCAAGTCTCAACAAATGGGCCAAAAATACATTTTCTCATTCTTTCATTGCTGGGCCAGAAGATGGTGGCATTGTCTTGTACTGCATCGTGACCCCGAATTGTTTATGCCTCTTGATTTTTATTGAGGTATTTGTTAGGAGTTGGATATTTTCTGGCAATTTTGAAGAGTCTAGTTGCTTGAAATCTGCAGAAACAGATTTTGTGTAAGCTGGGGGTTTACTGTGTTAGAATATACAGTCCATATTTAATTCTTCTTTATGATTAGAAAACTTATGTTAATTCAAAATATTTCATATAATTTATCATTCTAAGATAAAGTTATAACCAGGAGAGCATAACTTACAATGTATTCAGTACGTTCATCACCTTGGATTAAATAACTGAAACAACTTTGAGATGAACGTATAAGCTGACAAAGGAAAAACAGAGACGCACAAGTAAGACATTAGCATCACAGTAATATGAAGCTTCAAATTTATTGGCACTTTTTTATGTGCTAATTTCCTATTTTAGATTGCAGAGAAATTTTAAATGCTTAAATTTTGAGTAATTTTTTCTCATAACCGAATACTGTAATCATAACAGCTGGAGGAATAAGTTATGATGCAGTTACATTTATGTATTGTCTACGGGACATAAAGGAGTTGGCATCTATCTTTCTCTACTACAGTATTGCCATTTTTACTCACTTGAGCACCAAGCAGATCATCCAGTTCTCATGCTTGATGTCGTTCACCCGCTACATTCACTACATGTATTTATATACGATTACTTTTTGCATTCATTTTGGCACCACATTTCTTCACTTACATGCAACTTTTGAATGTTGGCACAGTTTTATATTCTCAAGCCCAGGAGTTAAATCTTGTTTATTAAGTTCATTATTTATGTACCAGTTGATCCATTAATGGTTTATTATTCAATTTGTTTTAGTAGAAACTGTAATGGTATTGGGTTCAAGCTATACTTGGTGGCTTCCTTTACTCTGAACTACAGTAAGTAAAGTTCAGCAAGTTTTGTACATCCTCACGAGTCACCAGAATTAGGGTGAGAGACGTCCAAAATGACACTGTCAGACTGATTAATTATCCTTTTCTTTCAACCTATTTTGTCTCCTTTTACTGTGTTATTTAATATACGAACCTGTACATTAATCCTTACCCAAACCCTTTCCGTCGCTTCATATCAGCAGGTCTTCTCCTCTCATTACATCACTTCCCGAGAATCCTTCATCTCATACTGTCCGCTGATAAACTAAGCTTATCTTGGCGTGTGCTGAGGCTCTCCTAATCAGATAGAGGAATTATTGTGCTTTTAGTATCAGATTCTTAATTTTTTAGCAGCTGAGAAATTCTGTATCCAGCAGCCGAGTCCGTCCACCTAGCTGCTGGTTATGTGTTTCTTATTAGCTGTGTTTTTGTTCCGTTGACAGCTGAGTTTCTGTTTATTATTAGTCAGGTTCCTGTTTCTAAAGATGCAGAGTCCCTGTCTATCCCAGAGCTGTATTCCTGTCCACCAGATGAATGTATTTTTTCATTTACCAACTGCTTCTCATCTGTGTATAAAACCGACTCTTTAAGTATCTCTTATAGCGAGTCCTTCCTTTTTCTTCGTAACTTTTAAGTCGTTCCTCAGTTTATTATTGTTGGCAAGATGTAAACAAAATGCATCTACTTTGAATATTACCCATCCTTTAAATGAGTCACAAGTCTTATTTATGGTTAAATAATCAAATTAATGACAACTTCAAAATTTATTCTGTAGCTCAGGCAGGAAACTTGTAGAGCTGAACCTCACATGAATCCTGTTAAATTCAGCAAATTAAAAATTATGAATCATATAGAGTATACTCAGTGTAACGTAGATAAGAGATCTAAGTGTGGACCACCTTAGTTACACACAACCTCGTGTGTGTGAAGGAAATATCTAAGTCTAGTAATTTAATTAATAGTAATTTGGAAACATTGGACATAAGATTCAAGAGACCAAGAAGAGTAGTTATGGGTCATGTTCAAATAGATAGTAAGCATTTTGCCTCCCAGATATACCCAAGAACTTCCAGTTTAAATAAGACCGATAATTTGGTTGTCATCTTTAGATCAAAGACCAAGAAAAATATACGGTAGTTAGAATATCATTCATGTGTAAAGGAGCACTCAAGTTTGCTGGAACATGCAGAACTTGTTTAAATTTAATGAGGAAGCCAGTAGCAGTACAGTAACTATAACTGATTAAAAATCGTATATTTTTTTACAAATGAAATTGGAATTAGTGTTTAGCCAAGAAATGATCTTTTAATAGCTTTTATATGTATATTTGTTCATATCTTTGTTAAAGAGAATGTTTTTAATAGTTAGAATTTTTGCATGTTGTTATAAATTTAGAAAATATACTAATCTCTTCTGAAAGAAGCTAGACAATGTAGGGTGGAAGGAATTGTTTACTGTATCTGGGAATAATGATGAACAAGAAGGTCGGTGGATAAACAAAAGTTGAAAGTATAATGATATAAGGAAAGAAAGTTATTGGATGGAGTGAGAACCTTTGTGAGTGGAGAGGAAAACTTGGGGAGTGAATAGTTATATATTAAAAAAAAAACTTGTTCAGGTGGTTTTGTAAACAGATTACTAAATATTTATATGTAGGACTGAATTAAAGCCAGTTCAAAGGGTCATCTGCCAGATCACCCATAGACAGGCAGTAGTTATGGTCCTGGAACATACCCCAAGCTGCTTCATGTCAGTATAAATTCAAAGTTAGTTAAGTGTCAATACAAACAGCCATCTATCCAAATGCAGAATAAACTGTGTGTTTAAATGCAAAATTACAGTAGTCTTGTGTCAAGACAAAGAGATGTATCCCTGAGTATGAATGCTTAATTAGTGTGCTGACAAGAACCACTGCCATTGCATATTTTACCCCTTGTATTAATACATATGTATGAGGCACAGTTACAGTGCTGTGTTGTACTGTATTCATAATACAGTACTCTAGTCAAATAATAAATCTTACATCTTTATTATCTTGTGGGACACAAAGTGCATGCCCCCCTCCCCCCACCTGGGTCTTTACTACAGCTCTGTCCTTAAGCCATAAGTTAAAGTTTATGTAGTTATATTTCCTCATTAGAAAATGCTATAAGTTAAATTAAATAACAGGAAAGATCTGCTTCATTTTATTTATATCTTGAGATTATTGTTGTGCTAGAACTCCCCTCTTGTTAAGTACTTTATTCTTATGGAAAATATTCAACAAAGGTAAAAATTTTTAATAATAGACATTGATATTACCTGGTACTGTACTGTACTGTATTAGTGTAAATTACATAATAAAGTTGTTTGTCAACTTACAGTACAGTACTGTATGTATTAAGGTACTTTGTATCATTCTTGGTTGATATTTATGCAGGAGTGATATCATTATATGGTCAATCTTAACACATTTCAGATGGTATGTGGAGATGGTCTTCTGTAGTGGTAGTGTGAAGAGTTGTTACGGCTGTTTAGTCCCACGGAAATGATGCAGTAGATTTAAAAAGCCAAGATTAGGTGATAAGAGGAGATTAGGTTTGGGTGGTGAGCTGGGTTGTTGGGTACATGTGTTCAGCATTATGTAGAATAGTTATGAGAAAAAGAATTCACTTACAGTAGTCGTAGTCTTAACATGTAACTAAAGTGACCTTAAATTGAACCTTTGTCATCATTCACAAATTTGATGTTGAGGTACACCATTACTTTCACTAGAAGATAGTTTGTATAAAGAATAATTTTTGGTATAGTTATTTAATTGTTACCATACTTTCATTTACTCTTGTGTGTATATTTGTTTGGCAATGTTAAAACACTAATTCAGTTTATGATTATTTTATTCATAGCATAATTATTGCCAGTGGCTCATAATTGTTATAAATTTAAGAGGCTCCTGAGGTCAACTTAGGGGCCAACTATTTTTTTTCTTCAGATTTCTGATTGTTAATATTTAAGCTGGTTTTTAATAATTGGAATTTCTTGGGTAATATGTCAATAATTTTTCCTAGGACCCTTAAGCTAAGAATTATTAGTTAACATACTTGTCCTCCTTGGATAGTGACATGATCAGACATGTTTTGTTGGGTTTGACTGTTCTCACCAAGACATTGTTGGTCTTTATTGGCTAACTGGGCACCAAATTTAATCTAAGAGTGTAAACTAAGTAGCCTGTAACTCTCGATCTCTTAGGCTATGTAGGTTTAAGCTTTTGGTATCTGTCAACCAAGCAGACCCAACGTCCGATGTCTGTAAACCTTACCTTGGTTGTAACAAGTAAACGTTATCTTATAGGGTCAGGGTTCATAAGCTCATGTCTTCTTTCCTTCTGCAGACCCTCCCTGCAACTGAAGTAAGTGAGGAAACCATGGATGATAATCTTTAGTGACAGTGAGAGGACTTATCTATTCCCATATTATTTACAATGATTCCTGGTGTATGCATTTTGCACTTGATACATATTACCATTAATTTATTTCGATATCCTTGCAACTTACCGTTTTACTCATCAGCTTTTCTGCCATTGCTATGCCAATATTTAAAGGAGCATGACAAGGTATAACATAAGAGGTTTGGGTTAAAGATTTGCATATTCAGACTGTAGAAAGTTGGACTAAGAAACATCGGGAACAAGTTCTAACATTCTAAGCCTCTCCTGGACAAGGTCTTGTGTTAACTGCCGGTATAACAACTCCAGTGATGAGACAAATATACGGGTTATAGCTGCATGCATTAGTCGACTTGATGAATGAGAGTTTCAGTGACCGTGGGTTATCCCAAGGGCCTCTAGATATCTCTCAGGGTTTAAATTAATTACCCTTCTTAGTCAGTTTCTTAGAGCCCTGGCTCGGGCTGGATGTAGACTACTGCCTTGTGCCGCCATGACTGCATGTTCTTCTTGATTTTACCATTCATTCTACGATACTGGACAGATTTTACCTGACCCCTGCTACCCTAGTGGTGTCTGTCACCTGGGCTGCCCACTCTGCACACCCTCCCATCTCTTCGGCTGCCCATTCCTCTAACATACCTTGCCTACAACACCTAATGTGCTCTATTCTTCCACAGATTAGTTTAAAGTAATTTGGAATGCCGAGAAACATTCAGATCAATGACATTTTTTGCATATGTGACCACACCACTTACAAACTTGAAACAAATAAAACTAACTCAATGACTTACATTATTTGAACAAAAACTTGTATTAATATTGACAACTAAAATGATAATAGTCATGATGATAGTGATGATAAAGATAATGATAATAAAAATAATTATATTAATAATAGTTATTATGAGTTTGAATATAAATAATATTAATAGTATATGATAATGAAAATACTAATACCTGTACAATCATAATTTTTTAAAATGCATAAGAATGTATTGATAATTACTGTACTTAAGTGTGATATTTGCATGAAGTTTCAACTAAAAGATGCAGATACTCTACTTGACTTACTTACCACTGCATAAACATTGTACACAAACATTGTACTGGGTACATTACATTATCTAATATATATATATATATATATATATATATATATATATATATATATATATATATATATATATATATATATATATATATATATATATATATATATATATATATATATATACATGGTAGAACAGGGTGTAGGGGAATAATAAAGAAAAAGTGTTTTTTCATGTTAATAATTGGGCTTTATACAGGAGGCGCTCTTAGTACCATTATTGGACTAATAAACAGAACGATTCATTGAGTGACTCTCTCTTAAGCCTGTCAGTCAGTACGAGAGTCTGTAAACATTTTGATGACTGACATTGAACTAAAATGATCACATGTAAGAGATTACTCCCTAAAAATTCCATTTATCTTTTATGTGGGTTTTGGTGAGTTAGTTAATGGCTGTGAGTGACCTTCCTGAGTACAGCCATTACTGTTTGGTAAAATCTAAGATTGTTGCCCAATATCACAAGAGCTTCTATACTAGAACAAAAGAACATCTTAAAAATATTAGATAATAGAATCACCAAGAAACAAGCTGCTCTTAGTTTAGTTAGCAGTATTACATTCCTTGAGGTGACCAAGTTAAACCCTTTATACTTTTCTGTAATTATTTTTATGAATAAATTCTGCTTAAAAGAAGAGACTTGTTCTCAGAAATATGTTTGAAGCTTGTTAGTGTAATCACATTGTGCCTTAAGTTTTGTACTGTACAGTATACAGTAAGTCACCTTTTGGAATGTAAATGAAAATTCTATAAAACTGAGGAAAGATTTTTATTTCAATGATTATTTGAGATGAAGATGTTTCCTAGTAAAATATAACACACCAAGGAGTGAGACTCTTCACTTTGCATGGATAAGTATAAAAATATATAAACAATTGTTAGCAGTGGTCCTCTACACCAGACCTCATAACATTGACAAGATAACACTTTATACTCTCCATGAGATAATAATTTTATGTATGAAATTATTAGGTGAATACAGAGTGATATACATATGTGTGTATGTGTATATGTTTTAAGTCAATTTGTTATCTAAAATATATATGTATATGTATATATGTATATATATATATATATATATATATATATATATATATATATATATATATATATATATATATATATATATATATATATATATATATATAATTATCATATATGCACACACACAAAACACACACCCACATCACAACACACACACACACCCCACACACACACACACCACAACACACACACACACACCCCACACCACAACACACACACACACACACACACACACACACAACATCAAAATCCATATATTTCATTCAACATAAATTCTAAATATTGTTGTACAATTCTGGCCACACATACCCATGTATTTTGTGTCTTGCCCAGGAGTAGTGTGTGAGCTAGGTGTGCACTGGCCTGTCTATGGGACTTGGTATCTCGCCTGTCTTGTTGTAGATCAGAAAACTCTTCCTGAGTTTAACATATAATATTTATTTATATCAATACTATATATATATATATATATATATATATATATATATATATATATATATATATATATATATATATATATATATATATATATATATATATATATATATATATATATATATATATATATATATGTACAGGGTGTCCCATAAATTTCCATACATAGGAAAAATAAACCTTTTTATATGAAAATCCATTTTTATTTATATAATATGCTCTACATGACTACCATTCTGTTGAAAACACTCTTCAATGCGTGTCCTCCACTGCTGAAGAACACGTTCAAGCACAGCTGGAGTTATGCTTGTAATGGCGTTGGTGATACGTTGCTTGAGATGATTTATGTTTTGTATCTTTTCCTGATACACCATGGCCTTCAAATGCAACAGAATGGTAGTCATGTAGAGCATATTATATAAATAAAAATGGATTTTCATATAAAAAGGTTTATTTTTCCTATGTATGGAAATTTATTGGCGGGTATATATACGTATGTATGGAAATATGGGTGATATGTATATATATATATATATATATATATATATATATATATATATATATATATATATATATATATATATATATATATATATATATATATATATATATATATATATATATATATATATATATATTAGGATATTTTTTAGAGCAAATGTGCATCTGTACAATTTATATAAGTTTTTCATATTGATGATAAACCACAGTAACTAGTAATGCCAATTAATTTTGAAAATGTGACATTGTCACATTTATTATCAAGAATCATTTGAATTTTTAAAAATACTTCCTAAAAAATATTTCCCCTCCAAAAAATATCCCCAGATTTAAAAAAAGTAAAGAATAAAGCAGATGACAAAGGCTGTTGCAGACTTTAGCTTTTCCCTATGAGATAAATACTAAAGTTCTGTGTGCTTGTGTGTATGTACAGGGGCAGCACTACTGGTCAAAACCTCAGCACCATCAAGTCACTTCGAGTACTCCGCGTTCTCCGCCCGCTGAAAACCATCAAGCGAATACCCAAGCTGAAATCCGTGTTTGACTGTGTTGTCAACTCCCTCAAGAATGTGTTCAATATTCTCATAGTGTACATACTGTTTCAATTCATCTTCGCTGTTATCGCTGTACAACTGTTTAATGGAAAGTTTTTCTACTGCTCTGATGAGAGTGTACATACAAGGGATGAATGTCAGTAAGTATTTTATGTTTATGTTCTCGTGTACAGTGCTGTATAGAATTTTTTTTTACATATGTTAAACTTTTTATGAATTTCCTTTAATACTGCAATTATTACTAAGAAGTTTGGTACTCAAGTAAAGCTCAGGGGACCATTATTAGAGAAGAGAAACAAAGTATTGTGGAATTGTTTATTAATGGATCATTGTAAACTCCTCCAATGTGTCTCCTTCGTAGTTTCATTGAGCCAGAGAGAACCAAATGTAGCAGTGTTTATTGTTAGTAACCTCATCAGTCTGTTAAAAGTTTTGCTAGATTAATCTCTCAACCTCACCAACAATGAGTTTTTATAAAAATGTTTTGCTTAACCAAATTCTCCATTTTTTTGTACTGTATAATTTCTTAATTATTTTGAAATTAATACATAAAGTAGAAAATATAGAATGATATTATGACTGTGTAGCCAAGTCTTCAGATTACTGTACAATACTGTATTTAGTAGTCAGTTGGCTGGAGTCAACAGCAGATGAGGTTTGCAGCAGATATTGTGCAACCCACAATTAGAGGATTGAGGATATGGAGGTAATTAGCTCATGTGTTCTTTAGGGGAGAGTTTTTTGTCTTCGAGGGTTATGAACGACCACCGGAGGTGAGAGCAAGACAATGGAGACAGCAGAGCTTTCATTATGACAATGTGATGGCTGCCATGTTAACGCTCTTCGCCGTCCAGACAGGCGAGGGATGGCCACAGTGAGTGTTCAACGATAAACACTATACTGTACCTGTATATGAGTATGGCTGAGGAAATTGAAATCTATTCGCAGCATTTAGTTTATAAGCAATGGATAGGCAAACTTTGTGTACAAATATATTAAATGTTAAACATATAAGAATTATGTTAAGTTTTATTTACATTATTTCTCAAGGTCTATTAAGTGTTAACACTAGTAATATCCAGATGAGAATTGTCCAAGTGGGGTGACCCCATACAAGAGACTAAATACAGGATTTTCCATGTACCATTTCAGTTAAAGCACTAACATAATACTCTCTCTCCTCCACCCACAGAGTGCTACAAAATTCTATGGCGGCAACGACGGAAGATCATGGGCCCCAGCCACAGGTCGCCATTGAAATGTCCATCTTCTACATTGTTTACTTCATTGTATTTCCTTTCTTCTTCGTCAACATCTTCGTCGCTTTGATCATCATCACGTTCCAGGAGCAAGGAGAGGCGGAACTCCAGGACGGAGAGTTAGATAAGAACCAGGTGAGAAGACCAACATCTCACTCACACACACACACACACACACACATACACATAGAACTGTAACATCCAAGAGAGATCATGTATATATAAATCTAATTATAGAATACATCAAGGGGGAACTCTATTAACCAAGGGAGGACTAAGAACCAAGGGGGACTGTATGAGTTAAGGAGAGGGACTTAACAAAGTAAGAATTATTCCCTTTATTAAGAATTAACAACATGGAGCCTTTGTTTTAGATAAATATGCATGAAAGGTTAAGAATAAAATTGTCAACATGATAATAAAGTTAGAGATAATTATTTAATTAAGAATAAATATAACATGGCCAGACAAACCTGAACTAACTATTGGAAATGTTTTTGTTTTTTTCATCCCACAGAAATCCTGTATAGACTTTGCTATTCAGGCTAAACCCCTGGAGCGGTATATGCCTAAAGACCGCGTTAGCTTTAAGTACAAGATCTGGCGAATTGTCGTATCTACACCCTTTGAATATTTCATCATGTTACTCATTGTGCTCAATACACTTCTCCTTATGATGAAGGTAAGTTTTACTACACTTATACACTTGAGGTAACCTGAGAGTTCCTGTCCTTGTGGAAAATGTAAAGTCATGCATATTGGCCACGTTGTATTTCCAGCCTGACCTTGCTGTTATTGGGATTATTTTTCCTAGTAATGAACAATGACATTTATTGCATTGTCAAGTGATTTAGATATAGATTCGTGCATCTATGGAAGTGTGTGAAGAAAAATGAATAGTAAGTATGGTCAAAAATTAAATTATTAGAATAAATTGAGAAGAGAAAAAAGTAGATATGATTTCTAGTTTGAATGTAGAGAGAAAGGGGAAGTGAAGTGGAGTGTTTCCAGGCAACTTGGAATGAGTCACTGGATGGAACAAAAGATGAATACTGAATCATAAAGTAGTGAAGGGAGTGGAGTTGATAGGTGAGTGAGTGTATTGAGAAGTGTTTGGAGCCAGGAACTGTCTTAGAAGATTCACTGATGGAGATTTGTATAGGAAATAGTTGAGTCAGAGTAGTTATGGTGTGATGAAACATGAACACTAGATGCAAGAGGTAGGAATTGATGTAGTTTAGAACAATATTTGGGATGAATTGGAAGTGAATGAAACAAAACTTAAAAATGAGATGATGTGGAAGAGAAAGGAATGTCATGCGAGGATTGCCACAGTGAGAGAAACATGTTAACAGAAAGGGGGGTGAATGATCGGTACATTAAAGTGGATAATGAGAAGAGAGAGGAACAACTGTGGAGATTGGGGTGAGGGAAGTAGAGGAAGCTTTGATGTACTGTGTATATATTTGTAGAAAAAATGATGTTCAGTGTTTTATGGAGGGAAATGTGTGACGTTGATGTCATGTTGTGTGATGTGGGAGTGGGGGGGGTAAACCGGATATAAATAATGTGGCACTGTTATGGAAGGGGAACACTAGTGAACCATGTACTGTATGTTTAGTTGAGTAGTTGGTGAATAAGAGAGTCTGGCAAAACACACACATGAGTGAGTGGGTGAGTAAGTGAGTTCTTAATAAAACATTGTCCATGGGTCAGAAGGTAAAGTTAACCATTATTTTTTCATGAAATAAGATGCCTACAGTAACTTTAATCAATATAAAGCACTGGACTGATTAATGATGCAATATAGATACAAGTTTGTATAAGCCATGAATATTAAGACAGTACAGTAAATAATTAACCAAAGTCTTTTTCTTAAGATCTTTGAAAAATCAGTTAATATTCCTCTTTTTCAGGCATAAGTGTGAGTGTCTTTTAGGTTAAGCATGAACATCAAGCCACTGCTCAACACGACAATATTTAACTGCTGGATCTCATTAATGTCATTTATTGAGGAAGACCGATGATTTTTTTAATTCATATTATTATATATTTTTTAATATGTACATGATCACTACATATTTATACTTGTTTCCTAACTTGAGGTATTTCATAAATTTAATGATTGGATCAGTAGGAACATCACAATAATGCTAACCAGTGTAAACGGGGTGGGATTGACTTCAGTGCTCAAGGAACAAAAAAGAGAGAAAGGAAATTCAATCTTGCCTTGGTTAGCGTTATCCGCCTATTGCTTAGGACCTTCCCTTTGTGGCGGGTTTCTGGAGGTCCACTCACGCTCCTTATTTACTTGTGGGTGATCAGCAAATGCATTTTTCTATATAACTTTGGCAATAAGGGTGTGTTTTTCATGAGAGCATTTAGCATTATATACACCAAGTATCAGAGGAAGAGAGCTAGACTGATCATGCTATGCCAATGCTTTGATTATCTGGAGTCTGGATACTCCGGCTCTTGCTTCCACTACCTGCTTATTTCATGCTTGATATTGGTATAGTTACATGGGATAAACAGTTGAGTGGATGATAAACTCAATATTCTGGAGGACGAGAGATGCGTTCTCCAGCTCCAGGTAATCAACGTTCTTGGTTATTGGCTTCTGCTCAACACTGCCTGGGAATATTACTGTAGTGTGGTGTAAATATTCAAGATATTGAATATTTGCTTTTATAAGAAAATTAGAAATGTTCACTTATGCATGCCTGAATGTAGCATTTGTATATTTTTCAGAAATTGAGCATTTTTCTTTTGGATTTTGAAAAGAAAAATGGTTGTAGTAGTTAAAAAATTTCTAATTTTTTTGGTGGAGATGGACTTCTTAATTATATTTAAAAAAAATTATGGGCACCACTCATCTGACTAAACTGATTACAGTATTATTATTGATCATAAAAAACAAATAATTTATTTATTTTTTGGTCCTTGACGAGGTTCAGTATTGTTCTGTAACTAAATACTGTATTTATGTATCTTAAATAGATTTTGTTTTATCAGCAAAAAACTATTGTGAATTGATCAAATATCCCTGCAAATTTGGATTTAGTGCATGTTACTGTAGATGAAATCACTAAAAAAGCTTGCTTGATTGAGTTAAAGCAGTGCTATAAATTCCTCTTTCCATCCAGAAATAAGTATTTTACTTTTTTATTTTCAAGTGATAATTTTTAAAACATTTTGATTATTAGCATAGAAATGCTTATAAACCCAACCCATTGCCCTAATAGAACACGGTAGAAAAATTTCCCCGGAGGCACTAAAGAGGTCCCCTGTACATAAAGAAAAGTTGCATGTAACATCTAGGTCCCAGGCAGTGTTGACAATGATGGGGTGTCTGAACAAAATCAAAGGGTTTGCCTGACTTGGCCTCACGGTGTGGACTGTAGCATCCTCACAGCCTAGCAGCATCCATGGTTGGCTCCTCCACTGCATGCATTTCTCTCCTTTCTCTAATCTCTGCTCAGTCTTAAAACTTTTCATTATATTTGTCACCATCCATTAACCCTTTCACAACAACTGGTCTTACTTCATCTTATTTTAAATTCGGCATTTTACTTTTTTTTCTTAATTTTATCTGCATCTGTAGTGTTTCTTTGTTGATGTCTCACACAACAAGTGAATATATATATATATATATATATATATATACAGTATATATATATATATATATATATATATATATATATATATATATATATATATATATATATATATATATATATATATATATATATATATATATATATATATATATATATATATATATATATATAGTACATCATATATATGGAGCCAATGCATTTTTTTAATTAATCATAATTTCTTAGTTTATATGGTAAGTTTCTGCAGGTTTTCTCATGAACTTTATCAATGTTAAGTGGTGATCTTGGTGCATCGTTCTTATAGTCTGTCTGATTTAAGATTTCAGCTGTATGAAGAGTTGGGTGAGGGATGACAACCCACTTCCTATAAACTCATTGCTGTTGTAGGTGCATATGACTATTAGATATAGGTATTGTGCCTGCAGCCACCTATGACAAGCCTTGCTGGTGCAGATGGCAGACTGCAATGTTAGTTGGAGTTATCAGGGACAACAGATGAAACAGTCACACATCATCACAGATGAGTTTGTTTTAAGACCTTTGTTTTAAAGGAAGTAATCATATGATATTGGACTTGCTACTGGATGACAATTATTAAGCAAATGAAGGTGTAGAATTTATGGTGAATGGTGAGAGATGTAAAAGGAGGAATAATTGCAGTTACGTAGTTACAAGTTGTAGATTAAATTAAGGAAGAGTGAGTCCTGTTTCCTTCTTCACTAAATAGAAGAGTCAAGAGTTGAAGAATAAGTAATTGGAAGTGAATGATAACTTTGGATTGAAGATGCAATCAAAGAGATTTGTGAGAAAACAGTTAAAAGTTACAAAACTTGAGAAAATAATGGAGACCAGAAAAATAAGTCATAAAGTACAGTACAAATAATTACTGTATCTCGGTAAATGCAGTAGTACAGCATACATTATTTGGTAGTTAATGGAATCTTAAGTTATAATACAAGCTGTTCTGAATCCTTAACTTGGGTATAGCAGGAGTATGTGCATAAAAAGGTCGGGTAAAAATTAAACAAGGATAATTGAACTTTAGAGAAAATTAATATGAGTGGCTGGTGAGAAGAGAAACCTGTTTAGGAAAATAGATCCTAGGTATGGAGAACTAGTAGGATAGAGTTTCACTAGTATGGAAGTTAGCTGTAGGGTTGGCAGCCATTATCTGTGCAAGTTCCATGTTCCTTGCATTCCTTAAAAAGACGTTAGGATTTGGCTAATATGAACCTGTAGGATATGTAGTGAAATATATATGTTCAATTGTCTTTATTCTTTTGATTGGTTACTCCTCCTTGCTTCTTGTCATTTTATTCTACAACTATTTATTTTTCCTCGGCTGTTGTCAAAATATGTGACTTATTCTACAGTATTAATTTAATCTCTACGTCCTTATGATGACAGTGTATCCAGATAATTGTTCCACCATGTCCCAGGAAGATAGAGAATACAGCAATTGGTGTGTGTGATGTTTATCTGACTTTGTCTGTCTATCTGTTTGAAATCATAAGCTTCTAGGATCAACTATACCAGGTTTTAATGGGATGTTACACTACTATCTGTGTGTCAGAGAGAGAGACATAGACATGGCAAGCATCCATGTGTGTGTGTGTGTGTGTGTGTGCGTGTGCGTGTGCGTGCATGCGTGCGTGCGTGCGTGCGTGCTTCCTTATATAAGTATGTGTCAGACTTGATCAACACAGTAACATCCATGATTAGCATTGGAATTGTACTAAACCTTATGTAGTAGATGTAGTATAGGCTCTTGGCTGAGTTCAGTGATCAGTATCGACCAGTTATGATGTTTGGGGTTTTATTACATAGGGGAACTTGGTCACCTTTTAGTGGCTTAGATATTTTCTGTTAAACACATTGCAATTTGCTGTCGAATAATTTATTTAAGGGTTTCAAATATGTTCATCTTCGCTTATTTTTCAAGCTAGTATATTGAAATCATTATCTTTTGTTTCTGTCAGTTCGTCTTTATATTGACCTTAATATTGCATTGTGCTGGTAGAGATATCATTTTGTATCTTTACTCTTTGTTTCTTATCGTTACTGATATATTCCTCATTAACTTTCTTATTCAATTTGTGTTATTTTGTATTTATTTATTTTTTTTATTTGATCTTTTTATTAGTATTATATTTCTTTTTGTTGTTTATCATGGTCATTTTTATCGCCTCTATGCTTCACATCTCTTATGTTCGTCCCATACAATACCTCAGTTATCATAGTAAATTTGTCTTATTTTATGTTCATTCTTTTCAACTCATTTCCCCTCCTATAACTGCAGCTTTCCTCTGCTCATAGCAATATTTAGTATCTTGTCGGGCATCACATTCTCTATATCAGCAGCACTGATTAAGAGACATCCCACTGCCATACTTCCTAGTGCTTGGGGAAAGTCTCAGCTACTGCAGTGGCTGTCACACTCTCAGCCACACTGCTAATATCTGAATGCAATGGCAGTTACTAAGACATATAGCTTCATTATAAGGAATTAGCAATGAGTGAAGCAAAAAACCTTTATCTGCTAGCAAGCCGACCCAAGACTTGGCCATGCACGCCTTGCATATAGTGATAAAAATATTTTTAGAATGATACTGAATTTTAGATTTTGAAAGCCCGATATCCTATGAGCACATTTCTTCTATATTTTAATGATCTATTTTCCCATAACTATTTCATCTTGGTCTCTCTTTTCTAATTAAGTGGCACTCTGGCCATTTCCAATGTTCCTCATGGGTTTCTTTGGCCCAATTCAGAACTAGCATGGTGCTTTCACAGCTTGGCATGCTCACCTCGACTTATCCTGGCCCGGCCATTTTCCAATGGTTCTGTACTAATATTTCCTGTTAAACCAAATCACAATCCTGGAGGTCCTTTCTGCTGAGTCATCATTGAGTTGCTGCACAATCATGGTAGGGAAGTTCAAGCTGTTTTAGAATCATGCTAATGAAACTTCTGTACTGTATATCCAGCCGCAGTTTATATTTTCATAATTACCTTATGTATTGAAAGAAGAAAAGGGAATAGACAGCATTAGCATGATTCATTTCTTCATGCTCTTCCCAGGTATTTTAATATTGTTGTAACACATTCTCTGACTTTTGGCCGGGCTATGGGATACTGATCTGTGCATGCTCTTTCCCAAGGCACTCTCATACCTGCCCACCAACTCCTGGCACTCACATTTGAACTGAAGACCTGTAAATACTGTGTAAGGTGTTGGTGGTGCCTGTGGAAAGGCTGTGTGTGTCGGTGGAGGTGCGAGATCACAGGGCAGTCTGGGTGGAGGTACATTTTCTTCACCACCACTCAGGTTGCCGACAGCATTTTAACGCTCCTTCAACTATGTATGACCTCTTATGAGTGAAGGCCTTCACAGAGAACAGTTTAAGTACAGTTAAATGATCTAAAAACTCTGATTAAATATTTTCTGTTATTTCTGAAGGTCTTCATGCAGATGAATATTACTTTGTTTGTTTAAACATGACGACACCCAGATGTGGGCACGGTGAGCAGGTGCTCGTGGCAGCCCGTAATAGCCCCTGCTCTCAGCTGTAGGACACTTGTGGCAGTGTTTAGCAACTGACCTCACAACCAAGGGGGTCAGGCATGAATGCCACCCTCTGTCCTGCATGTGTAAGGGACTTACTGAGGGATCATGCTTTTGATATATATATATATATATATATATATATATATATATATATATATATATATATATATATATATATATATATATATATATATATATATATATATATATATATATATATATATATATATATATATATATATATATATATATATATATATATATATATATATATATATATATATATATATATATATATATATATATATATATATATATATATATATATATATATATATATATGCAGGAAAGTATATTAAATATGCTGAGGATACAAATACTCAACATTGAACTATAGCATGATCATTAATTGTAGATGGTCGGCTGCTGTACGGGGTGGCTGGTGTGTTTCGGTAGGTGGCATCTCAAAATCCATCCAAGTGGCCTTCCAAGCCAGTGCTTTATGCCTCTTGGTTTAGGCTAACCAGCCCTGCCCGTGCTTACCGTGCTGTGGGTGACGATCATGATTGTCGCCTGTACCACGTGTCGAGATTGCAGACCAGGAGCCTTGTAGTCTGCTTCAGTCAGCTCACTTACCTCATCCAGGCTAAGGACACGAAGCTTTACTGAGACGAGCACAAGTTTCCTCATCTGCAGTGTCTTCACAAATGTTACAGAGCTTGAACACTAATTCCTGTGACTGATCCCTTATCTTGTCATTCTCTAGTATCTGAACAATAAGATTCAGATGTACCACTGTGGGCCTTTGCTTCATAATAGCCATATTTTCACACTTATAAGAGACATTCCTCAGTGGTGTACTGAATTCTTATTGATCAAATTTGTCACTATGTCTGATTTCATGCCATATATTCTATTTATCTACCACTCTTGCCTATGTGTACATGCTAGAGTTCAAGCTCTGATCTCCTTGTGGATCTATGCTGCTGTAAATAAATTTCAAAGTTAAATAATGAAACAAGTCATAGTTTTTGTTATCAGTCTTTACATTAATGAATCAGTCTGAGCAGTTATAGATCCCAGCCATTATGTATCAAATGTTCTGATATTTTATGTGACCAACTTACTAACCAATGCGCCTCGTTACTGATGTTCTGTGTTTTGTGTTTCTCTCCTGCTAGTTTCATAATCAGTCCAAGTTGTACAAAGATACTCTGCACTACATGAACACAATCTTCACTTCGTTCTTTACCATTGAATGTTTACTGAAGATCACGGCATTCGGAGTCAGGGTAAGGAAGGTTCAACTCTACTCATGGTGAGAGACATCACTTGTAGTGGGTCTCTCTAACAGCCCCTCGTTTGTTTCTTATATAACTTGCTAGACCATTATATTCGTCATTCCTGTCTAGCTCTCTGTCTGTTCATCTTTACCCTCCAACTCTTTCCCTCAGTCTATCTTTTAGTGTTATTTGGAAAAAACCTGAGTTTTATGTAAAACCTGTGGTAGTGTGTTGCTGTTCGAACTCATTATTTTGCCTGTTTCTGCCCTTCACGATATATCCTAATACAGTATCTCCCAGCTGCCTCATAGTCTCATAGGAAATATTTCCTAGTAATATTCTTCCTAGATTCTGGGGTTCTTGATGGCTGTAGCTCCTTCATGTTCCTGGCACTATACCAGTATTAGGTCATCTGTATGAGTCTTCCCAGATATTCTTTTGCCCGTTGTCGTCTTTTTGGACTCAGTAACTGTAATAAACTCCTTAGTATTTAGTTGATAAGTGTTCAGTTGTCTTTTAGGTTGCCTTTTGAACATTTAGTTGCAAACTATAAGTGGTGCTTGACAGTGATTCGTAGCCTCCTCAGTTTTGTGCTCAGTGTAGGTTTAGTTGTACTGTACTGTATGCTATTAAGAGTGATATAAAATGAAAGTAATCAGTTCTATAGAATATGTGTATCTAATATTTGGTGTTGTCCTGTCCTTTGTAAGCTCAGATTCTCTGTTCTGACTGACAAGAAGTACATTTTACATCATGTACACAGTAGCATATTTTACACCATTAATAGGTCTTTTAATTAATGCCAGTTATATTGGTGTACTTAATGTGGCAAGGTCAAGTGAACATTAGTAGCAGATGAAGTTTGATCTTAAGCTAATATATTTATTGAATATCATAAGGCAAATAAGGCATGATAAATTACAAGTTTTCTCTTAATGTTACAGAACTTAATTTTACTGTTTGATGTTTAGTTAACTTTGTTTTGGAGTTTCTTCTAAAATTGACAATAAGTTTATAATCTACTAAATGTTTACAGTATGTTACAGAATTTTATGTACTCTCTCTCACTTGTGTCTTGTCTTTTTGGTATATATGCAGTAGGCTCTGGAACTAAGATTAGGCTTTTCTGGGGTGTTCAAACCAAGTTAAAATTAATATCTGTAAGCTGTGTTCCAGGAGGTGTAGATGATTGTGTATGTTTAATTGTGAAAATTATGAATGTAACTGAGTAATATTTCTGTAATGCATTGACCAGAAGTTACCAGCTCTTTCCACATCAGAACTTACAGTAGATTGTTGATATATGTAGATTTCAAACAAAAAGAAAGAGTCAGATCTGAAGTAGTCATGTACTGTAGACTAGAAGAAAGAACACTGAAAAGTGTGGAATTTCTAATTGGATTTTGAACATTCTAATTACCTTTACACGGTGTTACCTGCAGTGAGTCACAGTTGTGGACACACCCGTGTTTCCCTCTTACTTCTGTTGGCTGCACCTTAGGCTCCACTGAAAGGATAGTTCTGCCCTATATCCTATGGACAGTTTGTAGCTTATTATTGTCAGTTAACAAAGTATTTACTCTTATTCATCTTCTGAGAGCATGTTTTGTTCACACACAGTAACACCAGTTAAAAAATTTTGATTTTCAAAATTATTAAATATTAATATCATTCTTTTATAATGGCAATACTATAGTGTACAGTTTTGCACTGATACAATAATTTCTGGCCCTCACAAGCTGCTTGACAATGGTAACATATGGATAGTTATCAATATAATGAGACTGTATGCAATTCAGCCATTGTGATAAGTACAGTAATTAGTTGTTACTTTAGGTTACCGTATCAACTTCAGGTTTTGACAAGCAGTAGTCCTGTGAGAAGCTCTTGTCAAATATCTTCGGATAATTGTTTTATCTTCTTGATATTCTCACGGTCTATACACTGTATATGTTTCTTGTTCTTTCACAGTAAACTTCCTTTATGTTGTTTTCACTTTGAGTTATTTTGTAACAAGAAGAAATATGAATTGATATTGGAAGTCTTCTTAAACTTCAACTTCTAGTGAAGACTGGGGAACATAACTAAATTACCTGCAGACATGTGTTTGGCCTGACACTATTGTACCGTAGCATCATACATAATATGCCAACATGTTTCACCATTAACAGGTGAACTAGATTATGTTCCTCATTTTTCTGTGACTGCTACTAATGTTCATCCATTACTGTGCTCTAGGGGGTTGTTTTATATCTTACTAGTTTGGGGTTTAGGTTAGGGTTTATGCTCGTTTAGTTGTGTTTCTTGTGTTCTTATTGTTTAGGACTCTTGTTGGGTAGATATGTTCTCTCTTGTCATGGCTTGTGAAGTTGACTAGGCAATGTATTTTATTCATATTCCTGTAGAGTTTTTGTTTGTTACTCATTTGTTCTCTTTTATTGTCCCAAAAGTTTATATAATCTTTCTCCTTCTTTTAAAAAATGTCTCTCCCATATACAAATTATTTTCACCCCCCTTCCCTTGTCCGTATGGTTTGGGTGATAATCTTGGGTTTTTCCTGATATCCGGTTGAGCACCAGTCCCTCTCCTCCATGATGGCTGTGCCCCTTCTGTTCTGTCCCTTTATTGTGTTGTTGTTGCCTAAAATACACATCTCTCTCTCTCTCACTCTCACTCTCTTACTAGGAAACACTTCATGAATTCTCTCGAAATCTATGCAGGTTCTTTGAAAGGTAACTTGTTTCCATTCATCCATATTTTTCTCAATCTTCTGCTTCTTTCCAGTAGGAAGGAGTAAGAGATGACCTGACACTTGCAGAACATCTCACCCCCTTTCCTTCTAATGCTCCTGTATCCTATTTTACCTGTCTCAGCAAAATTAACGGAAGAGTCTACTTTCCTTAATTCTCCTTCACCTTGCATTCTTATGATCCTCTACCTTCCTCAGCTAGGTGAAAACACTATGGTGGAACCAAACACTTACACAAAACTGATCTGCTCAAAGACAGTGTTGTGATTATTTGTCCCCTTCTTCTCCGTAAATAAAATATAAAATGGACGCGCCCCTAACGAGCCGTCCAGAGGCCTTCCTCCCCAAGTTCCAGCAGAAGCGCGCGAGTTCCCATCATCGGAGGCAGATCACCAACCCTCCCTGCCCTGGCAACCACGCTCGTGCAAGAGCAACGATCGCATGTACAGATTGTCTCTTGTTCTGAGCCGTGGCTCCGTATACTGTATGGTGGCGCCGTATACCATTGTCCACACCACTGTTGCAGCATCCTCCCTGGACTTGTGATCATTGTGGTTGTCAATGGAACCTGTGCACGACAGGGCGTGGCATGATTGCATTATGACTTTGCCGACTTGGTGTAGCATAAGTTGCACGCGGCATGATGTATTGCATGCATGTCATTATGATGCACATATGCAGTTTTTATTGAGGATTGATCAATGCCTGCATCTTGACAGAGGTATGTGTAGCTAGCATGTAGACACTGTTGTGTTAATATTTAAGTTTTCACAAAATAGAATACGCTCTGCTACACATGTCGTACCGAGTAGTGAGTTATTATGGTTTTATAAATGGGACGTCTTTTATCATTTATGCTAATATTATCATTATGATTAGTATAAACAAAAATTTAACTTTGATTTTATAATTTTCTGTAACGTAATTATATTTTTAGTGTCGAGTGTAATTTTTAGTTTTCCAATTTTATCATTATTAAATTATAGCTTAAACACCTCGTTTTGAAGTTATGATTTTGTTCTAAGCATAGTTATCCTACAGTTTGAGTTGTGTAATTGGGTACTTGCATGTACGATAAAAGCTAAATATGTGCACCCCAAGCAGTGTGTACACCAGTAGCAGTGTGCACCCTTTATATGAAATTTGCTTCCTGCCGCAGCTGTGTGAATGTAGCAGGCAGGCGCGACTTCTTACCCCCTAAGGTGTAACTGGCATGGCCATCCTGCACCAGCATCGTGTTACTGAAGAAGCGGATGCATCTGCTAGACCCTTTGATACTGTTCCCCTGGACTAAGTGACATGCTTGCTCTAGCCTGTGGTTCCAAGTCTTGTTGTGGTTCATAGTATTTTAGTAAAGCAGAAGAAACTGTGTATGCAGTCTTAATGCTTCTTTCTCATTAATATCCAGGAAGGGCTGCGTGATGAAATGTCCGATGAGACTTGAAACCACACAAAATTTATGATACCCGATTTGTTCACAGTATCATATTCATCTATTTTATTACCAGATAAACTGAATGACCATTTCTATTAATTCATGGTATATAAGTATTAATTTTTTGTTTCTCTGTGTCTCTCTCCTTACATAAAACTTGAAAATCAACGGTGCCACCTGAAAATCATTGTTCCTCATCACTGATTGGTCCTGGTTGATTCCATTGCCAACCAATCATGTGTCACAACTGGATGATACATACCCTTGTGATTCGCGGTCCCGCCCACCCCCCTCTGGCGCCTCCGACCAATCAACCCCGCGCTCTGTCGCCCCTGACCAATCAACACTCTGCGCACCAACGTCAACCCTGGGCCATCGCATTCCGCCCACTCTCTAGTTTTACCAAGCGGGTGACCTCTACGAAAAAGTTCTGGGACTCCTGAACATTGGTTTCACCAGTTTCTTTCTGCTTGAATGTATTATGAAAATTTTAGCATATGGATGCAGGGTAGGGAGGACTTATGTTATATCCATGGATCACTCCTTCACTCTCTGCCTGTCTCTCGCATCAAGTTTTGCTTTTGTTTTGTTATTTTATTTCATCGACACAACTATACATGGACAAAGTGTGCAGGACAGTTACTTTGTCTGTCAGTGCAGTTTTTCAAGCATGGGTAAATTAAAGTTAATATTGATTTGCTAATAAGAAAAGGATGCCTTAAAGAATGCATGCATATGATAAAGCAAAATACAGTTAAAGAATTCCAGATGTTATAATTTTCTTAGAAACATAGATGCTTTATCTCACTCCCAAAATATGATCTT